TGATTCATAAACACCTGGTGTCATCACTATTTAAGAGTGCTTCATAAACACCTGGCGTCATCACTATTTGATAGTGATTCATAAACACATGCTCACGATATAGTCGGAATCGCACAATCGACTCTGCTTGTGGCAGAGATTTCTTATGAATATGAAAACTTTTGTCGCTTTTACGAAACAACAAACAAAGTGTATCCCAATGGGTGAGAAAGAGTTCAATAGCCACACAACGATTCCACACAAGGGTATAATGTGCAAACCACATTCTTTGTGAAATATTTGCAGATGGGATTTTGAAATATCGAAGCAGTATTCTATATTGAAAGTGGGTGAGTAAGTGAGTTGGGTTTAACGCCGCTTTTAACAGTATTCCAGTTATATCACGGCGTGTCGGCTTAACGAGGGAGCAAAGCCCGAAGTGATGCAAATCTTAGACGTTTACCACTTCGGTGAAACCCACGAGCACGGGAATGGTGCTGACAGACCTAGAAACATAATCGGGGCGAACCGGGATTCGAACCCACAATCATAGGTTTCTGGCGTGCCCAAAGGACGCAACTCCGTTATTTAAAGTGAAATTCTATTACAATGTCTGTCCGGCAAGGTCACATGAGCATGCAAGATGGAGACGGTATATCTGTTTCATAAAGACATCATTATACAATAATGTGCACTGCTGTCAACACCCTAATTTACATCTGTGTATAGTATATATATACGTCTCTGAGAACATCTTTGATTTCAAATAAAATATATAAAACATCCGTACAAAAAGAGATGCTTTGCAGCGTCCAGCGAATGTACAAACAATTCCAAAACCTTATACAATGAGAGCTTATAGTGAACAGACAAGAGATGTACACACAAAGATGAACTTATCTCAATGTTCAAACTAGAAAGTTTTTCTTTGCACAAATCATATCACGCGAGTGATGCAGAGGTTTGGCACAGTTTTCCTGATCTTGTCAGCAGGAGGCTTCTATTATTTGAGAACGACAAATATGCATTCATATATTAAATAACCCGCCACCAGGTCATTACAAGCTGCGAGGGTGATATGATTAAAAGTACAAAACCCTTTCTATTTATTCAATAAGACATGCCTACTAGGCAGAGCCCGTTGTACAATTCCGACTATATCATGAGCATGTGTTTAGGTGAGTGAGTGAGTATGGTTTTACGCCGCTTTTAGCACTATTTCAGCAATATCACGGCGGGGGACACCAGAAATGGGCTTCACTCATTGTACCCAGCATGTGTTTAGGAATCACCAATAGTGTTGACACCTGGTGGTGATAGTGACGCTACCAGGTGTTCGTGCATAATTTCGTCTGTCGAACATACCCTGAAACAAATATATCCAATGAAGCCCATGCAAGTCTATGAAATTTGCGCAAGTCTAGAAGTCTGCAGTGCACGTGCATTTAAAAATGAAGTGAGTCTCTGGGGTCCTTTTGTCCTTTTTATAACTATAATTTAACATCTGATTTCCTCTGTAAATTATGTTCACCTCAGAGACTAGATGTTAGTCTATACATTGATGTACATGTATATTGTTTTTGACATGGTCCACACCAATATCACGACGTCTTAACATGTATCAGACATGAGTGACTGAGTATCGTTTTACGCCGCTTTTAGCAATATTCCATCAATATCACGGCGGGGACATCAGAAATGGGCTTCACACATTGTACGCATGACGGGATTCGAACCCGGGTATTCGGCGTGACAAGCGAACGCTTTAACCACAAGGCTACCCGACCGCCCCTTCAAACCTGAAATCGTAACATCGATACACAGGCGCATCAAAGTGAATCTTTCCCTTGCAATGGAATTATTCATCTCCATGTTATTATGCGTTTAAGTCAGGTTTACTGTGGCAGTTGCATGTTACGCGACGTTGGAATAATCTAGGAATATATTATTATCCCGTTCAATACTGCCTTCATTCGGAAATCGAAACAAAACATCCATCGTCACGCCGTAGACCCGGGTTCGAAGCCCCACGTGGGTACATTATGTGAGGCCCATTTCTGGTGTCCCCCGCCGTAACATTGCTGGAATATTGCTAAAAGCGTGGTGAAGCCATTTTCATTCATTCATATTATTGCATGTTCGCTAGGGTAGATGAGTTTGATTCCTCTGAAAACTCTTAACGTTTCTGGACTAATCACTGCTGGAACCTTAGAAACTTATAAATGCATACATATAAAGTTGGTTGGTTGGTTGGTTGGTTTGTTGTTTAACGCCGCACTCAGCAATATTCAGCTATATGACGGCGGTCTGTAAATAATCGAGTCTGGACCAGATCTAGACAATCCAGTGATTGATATCATGAGCATCGATCCACGCAATTGGGATCGATGACCGTGCATCAACCAAGTCAGCGAGCCTGACCACCCGATCCCGTTAGTCGCCTTTTACGACAAGCATAGTCGCCTTTTACGGCAAGCATGGGTTGCTGAAGACCTATTCTACCCCGGAATCTTTACGGATCCATACATGTACAAAACAAAACCCTTTCCATATCCACTAGAAATCTCGGCATAAAACTATTCCGACTATAGAATGAGCATGTGTTAATGAGTCAAATAGTAATGATACCAGGTATTCGCGAAAAGGTGAGCGTATCCTGCCCCACCGGTGGCACCCGTCACAAACACACGTAAAGGCAAGTCAATTGTTCACCTGAAGAAACATAGGAACATATGGTAAAAGTCAAAACAGGGAATTGCATCGGACATAATTTTTGTCACTGATGAGTCAAAGTTTGAAACACCAAAGGTTTCAGCTGCTGGAGTATTGCTCGACATGAAGGGGAAATTGACTTTTGGAAAGTTGAAGTCATCCCTCTTGTCATACAGCCTTGTGACGAGTGTTTTGTCACTCTGAATCGTTATGTATAGATCAAAGCACGGCCAAACATGTTACAGGTTGCATGTTTCCCGTTACTCACTAAAGGCAGAAGGCGAACACTATTCAACTAACTACATCTAACTTCTTTGAGTGGCATTTAGAAGTTGGAATGGTAACTAAGACAAAATTGTTATGGATGAGCAACTTCTTTATTACAATTGGGCGACGTTTCGGTGCTGATTCTAACACCGTTATCAAGCAAATGATAACGGTGTTAGAATCTGCACCGAAACGTCGCCCAATTGTAATAAATAAGGTTGCTCATCCATAACAATTTTGTCTTAGTAACTACATCTACGCAAATCCCGCAGTAGCCTGTGTATCCAACGTACAAATATATGTTTGTTAAACTCGTTCATTCCGTTGACACGTATGCTTTACCACTTCATATGTAATATATTTTGAGTCACAAGACAGACATATATCGATAAAAACAATTAATTAACATAAATATGTTTAAACAGCAACCTTATCTTTGTTGCTGGGGCACTAAACCATTAAATCTACAACCTAAAAGAGGATATCATATTGTACACAGTGCTAAAAAGAGGAATTTAGTTTTAAAAGAAAACTGGCGTCTAAAACATATATCTTACGGTAAACTCAACATTTTAATGCATTTGGGGTTGCTATCATTTAATATTTCAGCAAGTAAATCTCAAGTGGCTGTAACATCGATTCTTTATTAAATTACATCTGATTTCCTGATAAAAACTGGAATCTTAAAGAAAAATAATTTATGTCCCTCGCATTTGCACTTCAGTGACTGAAATGAATAGCTTCTATTCTCATTCATCTACCGGTCTAATCTATTTGAAAAATGTATTGTATTTCTGTAACAAAAGAGACGGATAGATTAGCGACAACCTTACGTCATGGCCTTTGGAAAGTTATGACTTCTAAACAGCTGATTACATTAACACCTTTTCTTTGAAAGGCTCTGTCGAACCGGTTCCCCGGGGGGCAGAGCCCGAGGGTAGGGTAAGAGGTGCCGGGGGTTGCTGATAATTATTGATTGTCTGCGGCTCAGTTGGTGCTACCATACATGTCTTTGTTTGTAAGCAGTGTAAAGTACATGTTCATGCCTAATGTTACTGTGTACTGAAGGGATCTTTGAAACCGGTTTTGGAGCTTAATCGGCATATTTACATTTCTCAATTAAGTTTATGTTGTCTATAATTCCACTAAAATTTAAACTTTAAACTTTAATGGAATGCCAAACAGTTCGATTGGTACAACTTTAAAAAATGCGTTATACTAGACAGTATATGCGAATTGACTTCATTATTACGTTCTATTTTTTTCATTCCGGCCATTTTCTGAATTTATGCTGTACATATGCTTTTAACAAAGTATCAAACTAAATTGATTGGTCCCTTTGAGTTCGTTATAACCGCAATGTACTGTATAACATAATATAGTTTGTTACGAGTCTTAAGAAGGCGATAAGGTAAACATGACTGGTTATATATATCACCATAATTGTTTTGGTACGTAATGGTATGTCCCCTTAGTATTTATTGCATGATCATATGACTTGTATACTGACCATAGTAAACAAAAACGCGCACACACGCACACTTTATATTCACAATATACATATATTTATTAGTATTATTTTTAATATCCATGAACTTTTATGAGTTAACAAAAATATATATGACCTACAATTTGTTTAAGCAAGAAGTTGAATAAAGTTCAAATGGTGGACAGATTGAGCGTGGACATTACAAATAAATATATTTATATCGAAAGGTAATTTACGGTTTAAACGATGTATAGTGATACTTTAGATCTTACACAATAACGTTCAAAGCAGCTCCCCTCATAAAACCTGTATTACGAGACACGTCATTCCAGCAAAAGTCAAAGAACACAAACGTGTAAACAATTTTCGGATAACGCCAATTAACAATTGATTTAATGAAAACAGAGACCTAATGTGGGTCGAAACTCCCACGGTAGAGCCCACGGGGTGTAGCCACCTCGCCCTGACCTATCAGAACACGAGGATGCAAGAATAAGCTATTCAGCTTTACTCGGGATGTTCCGGAAGGTTGAACTCATTGTTGTCAAAACTTGTTATACTTGTTTGCCAGCAAGTATAAGAGCGACCTGGGGTGTGCTGGGTTTGTGTGGTTCTTACAAGCCGGGTGCGCAAGGCTGAGGAGTACTTAGACACAGCAAGCATATCTAGGAGAAGGTTTCATTTCGGAGATAGCTGTCATTGAGGGTAAGTTTATCAACCCATATGCATTTGGAATATGTACAGGGCAACTATTTGATTCAACTGATGGTTACTATTACTTTCATACATTTCTTTAAAACGATTTCCTTTACTTATGTGAAATACCAAAGGAGTATGTTCCTGAAAGTACAACTTTATCATTAGTGTTTTTGTGAAAGAGGATTGTTCATATTTTCAAAAAATATTTACAACTCAATTCACGGTGCTTAGTATCATGCTCTACACAGCGGCAAATGTATCTCATTTTGAAGCATTTTTTTACATTGATTCGTAAGGAACATATTAAACAACATCGGCATTACAAACAACTAGATGTATTCTAGGACCTGATATATGGAAAACTCGTATTAAAATGTAAATATTATAGATCCTATTATGTTAGGCATTTGAAGAACATTATTACTCTCTGAATACACATTGCGAAAGTTTACTATGGTAAATGTTCAATGTATATGGCCTCTGTTTGACAAATACGTGGTTACAGGATTATAAAGAGTTAATATCACTACAGTTATTAGGCGATCATTACCCATCATTACTGCCGACAAAGACTGTATTCTGGAGCATGGTATCTAATATTTAATAATCATCTATTTGATTCTTAATCGAATCTTATACCAGCAAGTCGTGTTCTACAGAACGCTAAGACATAAGCCCACCTAATAACTGCATGGCAGTCAGATAAGCTATACCATTTATACCAGGCCACTCAAGAGAGCGCTCACAGGCGCGGCCAGGATATAAATATCTGCTTCTGAACATAGTCTTTTAAAACATACATGTGTTTTACAAATATCGTATACACCACCAAATTCAATGTTACACAACGGACGTAAACTGCTTCCAAATTATAGAAACGTCGGATCGAAAGCGTAATCGATATTAACAGTAATGTGTGTAGAGTGCTCATTTGGAAATGTCCTACGTGGTTGTTCCACGTAAACCATGAAACAAACTACATTTTTCTTTGCATTTATGACGCCGTAATATAACTGGAATAATGTTAAAACCGGCGTTAAACCCAACTGACACATTCTTTGCATTTATTAAGTAAATCAAGTGTGCATATGCGTAGTGTTTAATATTTTGTCTGTGTGGCGTCGCCATTGAGACAACGCCCTAGGGTGACGTCACGCTTCGGGTACTGCAATCAGGTCACATGATACCTATCGTATCAACCGGTGATATCAATCATGCGCCAGTGCCTTTGTAGTTACGGGTGTGACTTCATTTTAAGTTCAAACATCCATAGCAAATGTAAGGTATTCATGAACGCGAAATATGAGTAGCAAACTGACTGTGTTGTGTGTGGTGGAGTGTTTACACGCATTCATGACATATTTATGACTGCATGTATTTGAATCTTCCGTCACTGTTGTGATTGTTTTGTATGGTGCATGACATATATATCAGTGAAGATGCAGAAATATGCATTTATGAATAATGTTTGAATTTTGATCACGTACTCATATGTCAAGAAATTAAGGTTTTTCCGTATCTGTTTATCTGACGTATCAATTCCCCGTATCGAGATCAGATGCAGGTAGTTATTGATTAAAACACACGATATTTTATCGTTTTAGGTACGCAACGCTAATATCTTGCATGTAACGTTATATAAAATATATCACAAACCGACATGAAATATCATAGTTGTATTATTTACGTTAAATGAAGCTTGAAACATTTGTTTCTTATTGTTTAACGCCGCAGTGACATTCCAGCCATATGTCGACAGCCCGTACATAATAGAGTCTGGACCAGACAATCCAGTGATCGATTATGCGAGCAACGATCTATTCTCTTCACAGAAGTTCACTTTAATAAATGTCGAATACGAATGTCCAGTTATAATAATAACACAGATAAAAAAGCCGAAATAAAAATGGAACCGGGAACGTTTCATATGTGAAATAGTGTAAACAGCGATTTTCAAATGAAGGCCTGCTGGATAAGAACTAATAATAAACGTCTTATATTTTGGGGTCGATTTCTTTCCACGACGGAAAACTTGTCAAACCACTTTAGCGAATTCCACCGTAGGTATAGATTGTACTAGAGGCGTGCAATTTAAGCACTTAATGACCCATGGTATCTCTGCATTGTGCACACTCTACACGGGGCGGATCTGTCTCCTACTGAAGTCGCACTACCACGCCACGCAGGTGCGTCATTCTCAACAGCTCCCCACACCCGTCCGTGTCATTGAGAGACGAGTTACCCCTGCCCTTTCGTCCCTGGTTGAGAGCTATAGCCTTTCAGGTAGACGTCTAACTCAACCCCACAGATTCTCACATTCACATAACTTCTGATGGAAAGGAGGAAGGGTCCACCCACCCCACCCAGACAGAAATAAAACTGTCTATGTACATAGTTGGTGACTCGTAAACACATTCTTAAGATCGGATTCGTACACGGTACTCATCTCCGAGATCTGTTATGATATTGAAATGTGTTTTGTTGCTTCTATTTACGTGTGGCCTTGGCAATCGTTTTCTGTATTACAGTCATGGTGCTTTTTACTATTCCCTCTACAGGCGTACGTACAGACAACAGATTCACCTGGACAGTTCTCATTACTCTTAATCAGTGACAATGACACAATTAGGCAGTCTTGATTGACGACCATATTGCCGATAATAGGACAACATATAGACTTAAAGAATCAACCCAACCTAACCCACCTGTTCGCGTTGACGTCAATACCCCGCCCCCCCCCCCCCCCTCATAAAAAATGCATATACATATTAATACATGAATGGAAATAATATGTCACTGTTTCTAAGATTCACGTGTGCACATCGGAACACGATTTTCTCCGTCTCAATGTATTCTTCAGACAGAATGTAAATGTATATGTTTATATTTCAGCTTCTCGGTGTACTATTGTACCAAAGATAAACTTAAACATTCCAAGTTTACAAAATTCATATTTCCATCAAACGAAGGATGTTTTATTTGTGTGATAAAAGTTCTTATGGAACAACATTAGCAACGTTAACATATTCGCATAGCGTCTTAGGACTTCTTATAAGTGCATTATGTTATGAATGTTTACTGTGTCGTGGGTTCCAACAATGTCACTGAAAGTAGTCTTACGTGACATTTAAACTTCACATTCTGAAGAACTGGTATGTTTTCATACGAAACTCCTTCTTTCAGGTTTCGATTAACTAGAGATGATGATGGGCCACGCCACGCTGTGGGCAGTGGTGCTTGCTACCACGTGTCTCATAACTGCCACAGACAGCCAGCTGACAGGTTCGTAGACTTTGTTTGTTTGTTTGTTGTTTAACGCCGCACTCAGCACTATTCCAGCTATACGACGGCGGGCTGTAAATAAATGAGTCTGGACCAGGTAATCCTGTGATTGATATCATGAGCATCGTTCCGCAATTGGGATACGATGACATGCATCTACCAAGTCAGCGAGCCTGACCACGAGATCCCGTAAGTTGCCTCTTACGTCCAGCATGGGTTTTTGCTGAAGACAAAATCCGTAAACGTATATAGCTTACTCTAGGTTTGCAACCACATTAAGCCGACGCCCAATGATATTACATCATTATAATCTTTTCCAAAATATTGTCCATCTTGACCATGTGTAAGAATCAATTCCCAGTCCTGTTTATTGAAATAAATGTAATGGCAAACGTAACTTAATATAGCCCTTGTTTCTTTTCCAGGATGTGTGGGTGATGTCGTTTTAGTTGTGGACACGTCAGCAAGTGTTGGCGCCCAAAACTTCAACAACATGAAGAACGGCATTGAACTTTTCATCAACGACAGCTTCACAAACTATCCAAATGTTCGAGTTGGCTACGTCATGTATGGCACATCGGTAACACAGTCAGTAGGTCTCAATGGTCAAGCTAACCAGGCGAGTTTACTCAACCAACTACGCAGCGCCACATACCCTGTAAATGCTCAGGAGAACACACACCTTGGCATCAACCAGGCCGCAAGCATCCTGAACACCCAAGCTCGAAGTGGGTCACCAAAGATCATGATTGTCATAACAGACAGTCTCTCTGACAATCAGGCAGCCACCATCACTGCTGCCAACAATGCAAGGGCCGCAGGCATCACTATATATGTTATTGGAATAGAAGCCTCTGTGACCGGCAGTGCCAGTTTGCTTGATAATTTCCGCCAGGAGCTCCAACAGATTGCCTCAGCTCCAAGCATTGTAACCCGGATTTCTGACTACAGTCTTCTTACAAATTCGCTGGGAAACTTGCCAAACGCCATATGCGCAGGTGAATATTTTTACTTACGAAAGGGCATGATAGTATTGTGATATACTAATGAGGGTAAATTATTGTTTAGCTTATTTCACTGTCAAAAGAGTTGGACCTGAACACTTTAACAATCTCGAATGTTCTAATCTGAAAAAAACATTCAATCGAGCAAACACTATACACATGTTACTTTTGTTTCAGTTCAAATCATCAGCAACATGGTAAGCCAGACAGTGTTCACAAGTCAAACCATCATCCTCTCAGTGTCCTTGAATCAGAACGGCATCACCGGTGGAGTCTGGGCGAAAAATGGAGGGGCTCTCCCCAATGACGGCCGCATTTCTGTTTCCGTGGATAACCAGTTTCAGCGTCTAACAATTGTCAATGCCCAACAGAGCGACGCAGCAACATACTCTTTCGCCATTGCTGGACAGTCGAGGTCTGCAACTGTCAGTGTTACAGGTGAGACCCCACGCATGTGGGTGGAATCCTATCACACCGCCCAATTCATGACCATGGACATATCCTTTAAACAGTAAATTATTTACCCTAAGGAATGGCATAACTGTAGCTGTTCGATGAAACTCTTTACCAATCAAATCAAACATTCTGATAATGACTTTGGTTCTTTGGTTTTCTCAACTTCTTTCATACTGTTTCACTTTACAAACGAAGATGTTTCGTTTTGACTTCATTTAAGCCGTTATGTTTTCCCATTACATCTAGACGGTTCAGACGAGTCAATTGTGATTTGCTGTTTTAGCTGGAATCATCCAATGGACCGTACGTCAGACCAGGACTATTGGTAGTACTGTAACCCTTACGGTGAATTTATTAAACGGCAATTGTAACCAAGGAACATGGACACAGAATTTCGTTACATTTGCCCTCGGAGGAAGGAGAAGCTACAGCACAAGCAATAACTGCCGTACACACACCCTGACTATCACCAACGTCCAACTATCTGACCAGGGAACATACCGATTCACCTATAATACACAACAGGTTTCGTCTGAGCTCACTGTTTCAAGTAAGTGGTAACGGTTATTTAACATGATTTGATTAACTATGAACATCGACACGGTATTGGTATACATATTTACAGGGAAAGGAATGAGTAGAAAATATATGGAAGCGACACGTGCATATTGATGCTATCACAAGGCATGAACGTAATTATTCTGTCTGACTTTCATCAAAGTATCCAAGCAGCGAGTGTTTTTATTTTACGCCGCTTGTAGCAATATCACAGCCCAAAGCACGGCGAGGTGATCAAGGAAGAACTGCACACATCTTACCCTTAAAAGGAATCCAGCCAGGTTCCCAAGGATAACAAAAGCCGTGTCTTTCATTTCTTAGCTAAACCCCAAGCCCTCATGTTTTTTCTAAGACGATTACATGTCCTTACAGCGAGTTCTGCACCGGTCAATGGTGGATTCAACGAGTGGACAGCATGGAGCCAGCCCCAATGCAGTGTAACATGCGGCACTGGAGCTACAAAAACTGTCTTCAGATCTAGGACATGTGACAACCCTGAACCACTGAATGGTGGAGCTAACTGCACTGGTCAGTTCACAGAGTCAGCGCTGACCAACTGTGGCTTGGTTGGATGTCCAGGTAGGTCCACTGACATAATGTCAGCAAACCGAAGTGCAAGAAAACACTCTATACTCCAATAATAATAATAATAATCCACTTACATGGCGCTGCTCAAAACGCTTAGACATTATTACCCCGGTCAGTATATCAGTGTGCACTCAACAATTATTCTCAACTCGATGGGGAGTATACAACCCAAGCTGCCTGTGAGTGCTAGAGGGTTAACAACATATCATCTAATCCTGCCGGGTACCCATTCACTACCGGATGAACAAAGTCACTTGCCTGAGAATTGGCAGGAATTCGGTCTTTAGAACTAAGTGTCCCGGTCACATTTGGCACAAGTCTGGTCGGAAAAGGCCATGAATCGCCCCATATCGCTCTTATATAGGTGCTGTCAGCACATCGTAAAACTATCCCTTCCTAAAACTTCATCCATGGTCATGGTTACACAAGGGCAGATAACTATAAATCATCCTGACCTCTGCCGACAACCGCTGTTGAAATCTAGCCGCGGCAACCTCTCGATATTTTACTAGCACTTCAATCATTTTCTGCCCCCGATAATCACTACAACCATATTGACAACAATTGCTGCTACCGCATGACACTTTTTATGACAGAAAATTACAACATGCATTTAATTCAGTTTGCTTCTTTCGGCCCACACGAATCCGTAACAGTAACGTTAACGCAATTATCTTTGCTTGCAGTAAATGGTGGCGTGACGCAGTGGACAACTTGGAACTCGGCATCAGTGACGTGCCCTCAGACTTGTGGAACAACATCACAGAAAATTACAGAGAGGCGCCGTACTTGTACCAACCCTACACCTGTGAACGGAGGAACATTTTGTAGCGAGACGCTGCTGGAAACACGAACCGAGTCTTGCGGATTAACAAACGCCTGTCCAAGTAAGGAAGCAACCAATGTATACGAACCAGTGTTACTAAAGGAATTGCCTACGATTATAAATACATAAATGCAACGAAGTACCTGGAATGGCGGTGCCTTTTTAAATGCTGTCACCAAAGATATTCTAGGTCATGCTCGTGCTTGTTAGTATCTAGGTAGAGGACCCCGGTTACAATCTCTGTTGACCCTGATAACTATCTTGGGAGAATACCTCGGTTACAGTCTCTGTTGACTCTGATAACTATCTAGGTGGAATACCCCGGTTACAGTCTCTGTTGACTCTGATAACTATCTAGGTAGAATACCCTGGTTACAGTCTCTGTTGACTCTGATAACTATCTAGGTGGAATACCCTGGTTACAGTCTCTGTTGACTCTGATAACTATCTTCGTAGAATACCCCCGTTACAGTCCGGGCCAGTGGCTCTGGCGTCTTCATAGTACTGTCAAATAATACGTGCATTTGTGATGCGCTGTTTTCCCTCCAATATGTGGTTGCTCAAAGCACACCCCCGTCAATGGATTAGTGTGCACTTATTCTTAGCTCCACGGGGAGTATAAAGTGGTGCCAGAGAATTATCATACTATCTGCCCTTGCTTATATGGTTTTCGCACGAAGCGTGTTCACACGTGAACAAGCATTACACGAACGTCAGGTAATCTTTCACGTTTTCTTTACTATTTGAACTGATTTTATCAATCTATTATTGACATTTTTCAGCTGTTGTCAATGGCGGTGTGTCTGAGTGGGGCGTTTGGACCAACCCAACTTGTAGTGTGACCTGTGGCACCTCTGCCACCAAAGTGATCCAGAGGTTCAGGACCTGCACCAACCCACCTCCTTCACCTGGAGGTGCTAACTGTGTCGAAAACTTGGTGGAGAGTGCGGAGGTCAACTGTGCTTTGACTGGTTGTCCAGGTAAATCCTCCTCCTATAAACTCACCATGTTTAAATACATACTGTGTACATTTGAATAGTGTTGCACAGTTTCAATGTTCTTTAAATGAGTTAATTCTACCCCCATTGAAAGCTTTGTAACCAGCGAATGACTATGTGTCCATGTACATTGTGCAATGTTATTATGTTTGACATCTTATTTCAGTTAACGGAGGACTTTCCCAGTGGGGCGAATGGAACAGTGCCACAGCGCCTTGCCCGTTTACGTGTGGCTTTACCGCCACTAAAATAGTCAACAGATTCCGTCAGTGTAACAACCCCATCCCCGTCTTTGGTGGCCTGACTTGTCCGGAAAGCCTCATTGAGAGCAAGACCGTCACCTGTGGACTCCAAAACTGTGCAAGTAAGGAGACAGTCCCTGTTGTTGAAAACTAGAAAAATAAACATGCAGACATTTGTAAATGGAGAAATATGATAAATTGTATAATTAAACTTATAATCATAAATTTATTTCGTGTATTGTAACATGGTACTATTTTGTGTTTTGTACCTCCGTTTTAATAGAATCGTCACATCAAAAACTGAATATTGTTCATTAAGATGACACTATTTTGCACAAGGCACATTTACTTAAAGCTGTTTTGGTGTGTTGTAGCTGCAGTGAATGGTGGAGTTGGACAATGGGCATCATGGAACACAGCATCGGTGGCCTGCCCAGTCACTTGCGGGGTCTCTGCAGTGAAGACGATCACCAGAACAAGACAATGCAATAATCCTCCTCCAAGCAATGGTGGCAGACAATGTCTGGAGAATTTGTCTGAGAGCACTCAAGTAAACTGTGGCCTTATCGGGTGCCCAGGTAAATTGGTGATACTTGAAATCAACTTCTTAACAAAGTTATAGCATATATCATTGAATTGAAAGTGTATGTGAAATGGGGGAGACTGATGCTTAGGATAACCGTTGCCCTTTATACAGTTTTGAGAATAGCCATTTATTATTATTATTATTATTATTATTATTATTATTATCATCATCATTATCAGAATGTAAATATTAGAGGAATACAAATGCTGCGGCTCCACATCCTGCCTGTTGTTCCCGTGAGTGAGTGGGTTGGGTTTAAGGTTTTGAACAATACATCAGGAGTATGACAGTGTCAGCTTAATGTGGGATGAAATCTAAAAAGGTGCAAATCATATACTCAAATTTTGTAAAAACGACGGGCTCGCATTTTGATATATTGAAGGACACTAGTAATGGAAGGTATGATTTCGTATTGTTCATGATAATATTAATGCATCAAACTGATTCAAGTTAACAATCAATTTTGAAGGGTTGAGTAGTTTATTCATCCATAATTTACCGATGTATTTTTCAAACCCTATCATCTACGTTACTTCCAGTCGATGGCGGAGTCTCTCAGTGGGAGTCCTGGAATACCAACAGTGTGCAGTGCCCAGTTACATGTGGTGTGACTGCGACTAAGACTATTGAACGTATAAGACGGTGTAACAACCCTCCTCCCTCTAATGGTGGCGCATCCTGCACACAGGGCCTTGTACAGACGTCCACGGTATCCTGTAATACACCAGCATGTGCAGGTAAATAATTCAATAAATGTTTCCTATCTGAAGATAAGATAATACAGATAAGGTAGTGTGTAGTTTCATGGCTTTCAACTGAAGGATTTAAAATGTGTAGATCGTTGTTATGTTTTTTGGCTTATTTTTTGAATAGGAGAATCACATATTTTTTACACTTGAGATTAAGCTGGTCAGTTTGAGTGTCTATGTTTTTTATGTAATAACTGGCTGAATATCAGTCAATACTTGAGTACCCTCACAACACGTTGTCTATGTTGTTATTAGTTGTTGTAAACGGCGGAGTATCTCTGTGGGGAGCCTGGAGCGATACAGCCTGTTCTGTCACATGCGGAGAAGCTACTAAAGTCATCAGAAGAACAAGAACGTGTACTAATCCACTTCCATCAAACGGAGGACAGTTTTGTGTGGAAAATCTTTCTCAATCAGCACAAGTTTCCTGTGGTCTAGTCGGATGTCCAGGTACGTAGAACATTGCTCCCCACATGGGTTCTGTGGGTAAAGGCGTCCCCGCGTCCCCGCCCTGTTATTGCTGGAATATTGCTGTAAGCGCCGTAAAACAATACTCAGTGACTCCTACACAAGGTTTCACTTGATTTTTACTTGATTTGTATTATTACGCTTATTATTTGATAGTCAGCTCCACAAGTAATACTGAAAACAAGTTCTCATGTGTTTTCTTAATAATAAATAAATTCAATTTATTTCGTTTAGTGTTGTATGTTTAGTTCAGCCAAGATACTTCTTTATTCTAATCATCACCAAACACTTGTATTTACACGTGGAGATCAAAGACTTCAGGTTTGTGATAATGTCAAATGTAAAGATTTGTGTTGTGACAAAGAATGATAATGTGGATGTATTCTGATTTCAGTGAATGGAGGGGTAGGCCAGTGGGGTCAGTGGAGCTCGGCGACCTGCACCGTTTCGTGTGGGTCTACGGCCACCTACCAGGCTACAAGAACAAGGCCATGCAACAACCCCATCCCAGCAAATGGAGGAAGCTTTTGTACCCAACCTATTTCTGAAACCACCTTCCTATCATGTGGCCTTCCTGCTTGTCCAGGTAGGAATAATGGAAATCTACTTACTTTTGTCCATTTAGAATAGAAATGTGTGTATATATTCCCTTGCTGACACATATTGATGACGAAATAAATGTCCTGTTAATACAATGACAAAACTCACTATTCTGTCCCTTTGTCATGGACTGTGTGTATTGAAAGATGTGAATAGAATATGCTGATTAACGTCAAATAACACGAATATATGCGATGTACATGTCAACTGCTGGAAGGGATAAACGTAATCACAAGTTCAATTCGTTTTTTATGCTGCCTAGCGGGACTAGCCTGTATTGTGAACATACACAACAGCCTTTGTATTAGGTCATGACAAATGTGTTCAGTAATCAACAGTTGAATGAACGATGACATTGTGTTTTCAGTTGCTGTCGATGGAGGTGTATCGCAATGGAGCCAGTTTTCTAACCCAAGCTGTTCTGTGACATGTGGATCTACTGCTACCAAGTTTATAACCAGAAACAGACTGTGTAACAACCCACCACCCAGCAACGGGGGCAGAGATTGCTTAACAATAGGCCTCCCACTCACCCAAACTAATGAAGTTAACTGTGGACTCGTTGACTGTCCAGGTAAAACTTGCACCTACATAACATCCTTTTAAGATTCATCAATGCTGTGTTGATAGATGTCTCTTTTAACAGCTCTCAGATGGACGAAAATGAGTCCACTTGACATTCATCTCATAGATAATACCGATGGGCATATGTTCTGTGTGATACATTTGCTGTCTGTTTCAGTGGCTGGTGGTGTGTCTCAGTGGGGACAGTGGTCGATCCCTGCCTGTACCGTCACCTGTGGTGTGTCAGCTGTCAGAGTAATCACCAGAACCAGAACCTGTACCAACCCACCACCGAGCAATGGCGGAGCCTTCTGTACCGAGTCCTTAAGCAATACAGCATTGCGAAGTTGTGGCCTTGGAGCTTGTCCCGGTAAGATAGCATTTCTGTTATAATTGTGCTCAGCCATCTCTTTTTAAACGATGGAATGTGTGTTGCAGTTCTAGTTTGTTGTGTGTCTCTAACCCAATGTGAATGTGGTAGTGTTTAAACATTTGACTCCCAAACACACTGCTGATAATACGTGTCTTCTTCAACTGACTAACAATGGGGATAGTGAATACATTCTTTGTCATCCTCCGATTCTATCTTTCTTCAGTGCCAGTGAATGGAGGACTCTCTCAGTGGACACAGTGGAGTATTGTGCCTTGTACCCGAACATGCGGGTCATTCAACACACTGGCCACACGTGTACGGCAATGTAACAGTCCCGCTCCAAGTAATGGCGGAGCGGATTGTGTAGGAGACACATTCCAGACACAAACTAGGTCTTGTGGACTGCCAATTTGCCCAGGTCAGTTTCAGATTTACTTCATAGATAAGCTACAACACGCTGCATAACGTTCATACACTTGCTTTCTGGAACGTGGGTTGAAAAAGTTCTTAAAATACGATGTCGAATTGGTTCATATTGTTGTTGGATTACAATATATAAATTTTAAAGAGCCATGTAATTATATATGCTTAGAAAAGAATTATATACTATAACACAGTCGACAGTGGTATTAACGTTGGATTGTAGAACTATTTCCATACATATGGTTTTGTTTCAGTTGATGGTGGGTTGACCCAGTGGACTCAGTGGTCAGGTCTAACGTGTACAAGAACGTGTGGAGTTTCCGAAACTGGAACTGTAGTCAGAAGCAGGTCCTGCACCAACCCAGCCCCTCAGAATGGCGGAAACAACTGTACCGGATCAACGTTTGAAGCACAAAACAGGAATTGTGGATTTTCGGCGTGTCCAAGTAAGTCTGACATGTATACACACCTTCCAACACAGCATGGTATTCTGTTTCATGAATTTCCATGCACTGTACATGTGTCGCCATCATTTGTGATGTTTTGCTTTCTTTTTTTTCTAATACATCTTGCGATCAGCACTGATATATTCAAACAATAACAACCTGGGTACACGTGCACATATGTGCTGTTTTTTTTGTCTGTGCCTTATGTAATAGAGTTGATGATTAGACATATGGAAACACATAACAGCAAGATGGCAGAAATATGACGCTCATGTTGTCTGTGCAAAGCTTGTTTGTATTGCTAACATATCATGACCTACAACTCGCGAGCAGTCGATGGAGGTTTGGCCTTGTGGACACAAAGGGATGTTCCATCCAGCTCCAGAACCTGTGACTCAACAGCCACATTAGTTGCAACAACACCCACTCCATGTACAAATCTAAGTCCCCAGTTTGGTGGTAGAAATTGAGGTATTTCAGAGTGCACTTTGGAATTGTGGACTAGCGCTTTGCTCAAGAAATTATTTCACAACGATGTCTGCTGATTTACTAAACCGTATAATGATAACAAACTTACATTACCAAACCTGAACTTGATAATCTATCGATTGATTAAAATAACATAAGAATCGTCTTTTACTCATTTAAACAAATAGACGAACATGATCCTTTCAAAACGAGGATTATCTCTATGTATACAGCTGTCAGTACACGTGTGGTAGTATATCTACTTGGTGCCTTTATCTATTTTAAGTATTTCAATCAACCATGCAGGCATAACTTATCCATAAATATCTTGAGAAATAAAGATCATACTTGTGTTGTATGTTATGGAAGTATTGGGCGAATGTATGGGTAGATCATGTCTGCACCAACATCTCATGTAATTTCATTACGGCATAGATCATGATCTGAATGTAAATGAGTACTTTGTAGTTGTATGTGTATTATGGGTCATGCTGTTCATTCTTGGCTGTTCATTTCAGCTGTAACAACAAATGTGGCGTAAAGCAGTTCTCACTAATTTACTTAGATCCATGTCAAATAGTTTTGTATCATTTGAAAATATATGTTTCGTTCCTCAGTTTAACTGTTGAAATACGTTTGATGTTTGAAACAAGATAATTAAAAAGGAAATTCCCAAAACATACATCTACTCTCTAATCTACTCTCTGACAAAGGCCCTAAACATTGTTACTGTTTCTCCCAGTTAACGGAGGCTTGACACAGTGGACTCAATGGAACGTTCCAAATTGTCCACAAACCTGTGGTTCAACTGCAACCCTCACTGCAACAAGAACAAGATCATGTTCAAACCCTGTCCCTCAATTCGGTGGTAGAGACTGCACAGGTCTAGGGAACGTGTTCGAGAACCAAGTCAGGAGCTGTGGATTATCGGCCTGTCCAAGTAATTAATCTCTGCTTTATTTCAGATGAAAATAACAAACTATAACCATTGTCGTATTTTCAGACAGAAATGATTTGCTATTTGCTAATTGTTTAGTAAAAAACCCCATTATCCCCATTTCATTCAAGTAAACATATCAAGCCATATTTCATTTAGCAAATATTTCGTATTATTATGAAAATGGTTTTGCTGCTTTTATTTCAATAACTTCAATAGCGAAACAAAAATGATTTTAGAAATATAATGACGCCTCTAGGAGGAACATTTGGTAACATGAGCCTTTGATCCTCTTAACCAGCGGATGGCGGATTATCTTTCTGGACACAATGGAGCATCCCATCTTGCTCTGTCACCTGTGGAACGACAGCTTCCCGAGTTGTTACTCGAACAAGGAGCTGCACCAATCCTCCCCCTAGTGATGGGGGTAGAGACTGTACTGGTCTCGGAGCCACATTTGACAGCGAAACGAGAAACTGTGGTCTAAGCCCATGTCCAAGTAATTATAAACTTTCATTGTCTTGCTCATTCCTTAAAAAGTTCTACATAATGGATGTAGTTTACAGACATTAAAATATGTGGCACACAGATAAAGATCTAAACTTAGCTGTAAACACACTGTTACTTAAAGTACCCTGCAATTCACGTTCACAAAGCTTTATGTGTGCTATGTCTGTTGTTGCCATTAATATGTATTTGTATGTGTGTTGTAATGCAGATGTTCATTCTCTGGCGTGGAGGCTTTTCATGTAGACACATGACATCCTTGCCAAAGGGCATGGTGGTTTTGGTCATTGTAAGATTTGCTGACACTAACACTCAATTTTAATTTTGGTGCAGGTGAAACACGTCCGTGTGATCTTAAAACAATATATTAGTATTTGCACACACTTTCTTTGTTTAACAATGATAAAAACTATTACTGTTACTGAAGCCATTTTGGACAAGAGAATTACTTACTTACAATACTCTATCATTTTACTACTCTCTCACTTTATTGACCCGTGAAGATTCGGGGTAGAATATGTCTTCAGCAACCCATGCTTGCCGTAAAAGGCGACTATGCTTGTCGTAAGAAGCGACTATTGGGATCGGGTGGTCAGGCTCGCTGACTTTGCTGATGCATGTCATCGTATCCCAATTGCGTGGATCGATGCTCATGATATCAAACACTGGATTCCCTAGTCGATTATTTACAAACCGCCGTCATATAGCTAGAACATTGCCGAGTGCGGCGTTAAATGAGAAACAAAACACTCTCATTATATTTCTAACATTTTCACAAACAATTGTTTAATTGACAAACAGTTGACGGAGGATTGACTCAGTGGTCTCAATGGAACACTCCAAGTTGATGAGATAATTACAAAGTAAATGACCAAAACATGTACCTAGACGATGACCCTATTTCTAACATTTGCTCCAACAATTTTCTACCCAGTTAACGGAGGCTTGACACAGTGGTCTCAATGGAACGTTCCAAATTGTCCACGAACCTGTGGTTCAACTGCAACCCTCACTGCAACGAGAACACGATCATGTACAAATCCTGTCCCTCAGTCCGGTGGTAGAGATTGTACAGGTCTAGGGAACGTGTTCGAGAACCAAGTCAGGAACTGTGGATTATCGGCCTGTCCAAGTAATTAGCTTCTGCTGAAGAGCATCCTCAAAAGCAAACAGCAAATTATAACCATTGTTGTATTTTTCAGACAAAAATAATTTGTTATTGATATTGCATTTGTAAAGCATTTAAAGGAAAATCTCATTACATTTTAAGTGGCCATATTCTAAGTTACTTTGTGGTCGGGCTTGAACAACGGACTGCTTTAGCAGGGATTCCTTATGATTACGGAAATACGTTTTTGTTTATATTTCAATAACTTCGAATGGATTTCAAAAGCGAACCAAAAATGATTTTAGAAATATAATTTCATTAATACTTAACATATTCACGCAATGTGGAAATGATGACGCTTTTGGGAAGAACATTTATTAACATGAGCCTTGGATCTTCTTAAACAGCGGATGGCGGATTATCACTGTGGACACAATGGAGCGTACCATCTTGCTCTGTCACCTGTGGAACGACAGCTTCCCGAGTTGTTACTCGAACAAGGAGCTGCACCAACCCTCCCCCTAGTGATGGGGGTAGAGACTGTACTGGTCTCGGAGCCACATTTGACAGCGAAACGAGAAACTGTGGTCTAAGCCCATGTCCAAGTAATTATAAACTTCCATTGTCGTCTCATTCCTGCATTGACAAGCGGTGCATGCTACGTAATGCGTAAAGAAGTGTTTCCATTGCCATAGCGGCAAACACTGGAAGAAGTAATTCTGTTTGAAATCAAAACTGCACTTGACATAACCTGCATTTCACGTTCACTAAGCTTCATGTGTACCTTGTTTTATGATGCTATCGTTGTGTATTGTGTGTTTAGATGTGTTTTGTAACATATGTGTTCATTGTCACCACTCATGCACTCATTCTGTTCTGTGGGGATGTAATGTAGACAATATTTGCCAGATAAGTGAATGAATGTTCTTATCAACACAAAATTAATATATTCTTATACTGTCAAATCGCTTTATAGCTGAGGTAAATCCTACGAATGTTTTGAAAACTATTAGGTTCACAGATGCCCCAGTGTCACAATCGAAAACCTATTTGTTGAGAATTTTTATAAGAAAATTCCTCTGTCAAGGAAATGGATCATTTTACTAATGTCTTACTTTGTTTCTAATATTTGCACAAACAACCTTCTCACTCACGTACAGTTAACGGAGGATTGACACAGTGGGCTCAATGGAACGTTCCAAATTGTCCACAAACCTGTGGTTCAACTGCAACCCGCACTGTAACGAGAACACGATCATGTACAAACCCTGTCCCTCAGTTCGGTGGTAGAGACTGCACAGGTCTAGGGACCGTGTTCGAGAACCAAGTCAGGAACTGTGGATTGTCGTCCTGCCCAAGTAATTAGCTTCTGTTGAAACACCATTCCATTAGAAAATAACAAATACCAAAACAATCAGTTTCAGTAAACATACCTGAACTTAACTAAAATGAATTTCTTTCCATGATTATAACATTAAATTTAAAAATAAGATATCTGAATATTGTAAATATACAAAAATAACGTATGCATCAGTGACCACAAGTGATGAAATGCAGTACTCATGGTGTAAATCTAGTAAATAAGAAATGTGATCTCATTGTATAGCGGATGGCGGATTATCCCTGTGGACACAATGGAGCGTCCCATCTTGTTCTGTTACCTGTGGAGTGACTGCTACCCGTGTTGTTACTCGAACCAGGAGCTGCACCAACCCTCCCCCTAGTGATGGGGGTAGAGACTGTACTGGTCTCGGAGTCACATTTGACAGCGAAACGAGAAACTGCAATTTCAGTCCCTGTCCAAGTAATGGCTGCCATATATCTTATATTTTTACTCAGCTGTTTAATGCATGGTTTTATTTAGCAAGAAATAGTTATGCTTAGATATTACATAAACTGAATATTTTGTATATGGTGACATCATCTCACAGTAGTTCGTTCTGAATCCACAGACGATGGGAGCGTTTTGATCACAGTGGGGTATCCCATTCTGTTCATCTCTATACGGGAGAACAACATCTCGCACAACGATATTTCGATCAAGCAGTAACCCGCCTCCAACCAACGGAGGCAGGAACTGCACTTAGAACCTCGTGGACACCCACATCCGATACTGTGGACTAACTCCATGTCCATCTAACTTTGAACTATAACTAAGTGACAGCAAGTGATAGCAGAAAACCGACAGTACAGTCGGTGTGGTGCAGCACATAGATGGACAATTAGGCAATGCATACATGGGGTGGGTGCTTCATACAAGGGTTATATCAGGCACTGTAGCCGACGATACACCAGGATGGATCCTTCTCATGTATGAATGCTTCTACAGGCAATTAATGCTGTGTTTTTCACAGTTGTGTAATTGAGGTTGTTTGAATTAGGCATTCTGGCACATATCCACCGAAACAAATTGAGTGGAAAAATACTTTTCTCAATAACTAGTAACAATATTGTCATATTGTCGCTAAAATATAAGGATGTCTTGTCAAAAGGTGCTGCTGGTAAACATGCGTTTTCGCCAGAAGATAATGGGAAAAATGGGTCATAATTTGATAGACAAACTGATGATCTTTCCAAATATAACATACAGTAGAATATACATGTACGTAGTTTGTTTGTAGTTTGCTTTGATGCTTACAGAGTAGTTTGCATTGTGTAGTATCTACTGACTAACATGTTGTCCTTCACTGTCTGTTTGTGTTTGCAATGTTCTGACACCCTGTTGCACCCTATACTCACAGTCGATGGTGGCGTCACGCCATGGTCACAGTGGACGCTGTCAACGTGCTCTGCAACGTGTGGCGGGGACGCCAACCGTGTGGCGACACGTTTCCGCACCTGCACTGATCCTCGTCCCAGTGACGGTGGTAAAGACTGCACGGAAGTCCTGTCAGAAACAACGTCTAGAACGTGCGGATTTGGTCCATGTCCAAGTACTTAGTTACGCATGGGAATTAGACGTGAACATGTAGTGGACAATACCTTTGCCTAGACGTGCCTGAGACGTGTATTGCATGCAGTTCTCATTAACATTATTTTTACCCACAGATGCTGTCGTATTGAAAATATGTTTATGCATGGACCAGACACATGTATTTGCAGATGCTTATGTACATCATTTTATTATTTTTAAACATGTTTTATTGTCCAAAAAGACAAAGGGATTGGGAAGTGCAGCACTTATTACCGCCTTCTCCCTCCTTAGATCATTTCAGCGACCCATTCATATAATGTTCGTCGCCATTCAGCATTTGACCCAAGGAAACCTTTACGGCCACATTTGTCAAAGGAATTGATGTGAACATATACATCGTTGTACATTACAATAATGCATGCATTAATATTTGCATGGTATCCAATATTAACGCCCTACATGAAACGATGTTTTAAGATGATCTTAATAAAACTAACACTGTCTTTGTTTTCTAGAAACAAAAGTATACTTTGCTGTCTTAGATACTTATTATATTGCTATATGTGTGATCTAGTGTGACATGTAGCCTTAAAGTTAGCAACATATAAACAACATTGATAGATAGCTATAGAGAAAAAAACTATAATTTGTGTAATTTATAAAGTGATTGTATACTTAATATAATATGATATTTCACATTATGCCATTACAAAATGCAGTATAATATTAAATGCTACTCATTTTCAGTCTTACTATTACTTTTTAAGGACTGAAAAATATAACATTCCTGTATCGTAATATTTTGAGCAAATATGGTGAGGCGAGTGATCAGCTATCATAAAAACAATACTTTCTCCACCAGTGGAAATGACCATGATAACTCATGTTTATCGAAAACCTTTCATGAACTAGTTTTGTTTGTTTGGCTGTTGAGTATTGCAGGTAGTGGGTTGTTTATTAAGCTCTGGAAGCTTACAGTGCAGTTCCTGTTTATTATAGACGATTGTAGCAAGAACGCATGTGTTATACTAATCATGTGTCCTGAATGTTTCAGTTGATGGTGGAGTGACACAATGGGCACAGTGGAGCGACCCCGGCTGTTCTGTTACTTGTGGAACCTCTGCAACTAAGACATTGACAAGAACGAGAACTTGTACAAATCCTACTCCACAGTTCGGGGGAAGGGTTTGTACAGAGCTCCTTAGTGAAAACACCGTACGAAATTGTGGTCTTCAGTCCTGCGCAGGTAAGAGTCTTGTTATGTCTGTGTGCCTAAGTATGTGTATGTGTTTCTGCCTCCAGAGAAGGCCACCGGAATATGTGTTAATTGCAGGCTGGGATTATAGCATTGTTTTCTGAAACATTACTTAGGTAACACGCCTAGGTAAGAAACATGGTTGCCACCAAATATGTCTAGAAGGCTAGCTGATATGTGATAATATAGTATTGTGGAAGTTTAAGACCGGTAACATATATGTTTTACTCTGTAGTGAATGGTGGCATATCCCAGTGGACATCGTGGGTCGTGCCTCAGTGCTTCTTGACCTGTGGAACCACCATCACTGTAACCGCTACGAGACAACGATTCTGCAACAACCCACCACCACGTAACGGAGGCTTTAACTGCACAGAATCGCGTGTCGACAGCCAAGTACGCAGCTGCGGTCTTTCAACTTGTCCAAGTACGTATTGTTTGAGTGGATTAGCCCTGAAAAGATTATAAAAGACGAAGGGTTAGAATTAGTATTCACTAACCCATACTTGTCGTGAGAGGCGACGAACGGGGTCGAGCGGTCAGACTCGCTGACTTGGTCAATGCATGTCATCGTATCTCAGTTGCGTAGGTCGATGCTCATGATGTCAGCCACTACATTCTCTGGTCCACACAGACTTTATATAGCTGGAACATTGCTGAGAGCGGCGTTTGAAAATGAAACCCTCAAAACAAAAAAAACATTGATTTTATGAAGGGTCACCGAGCTTACTCTACAGACATAAGATGTGATGAACAGAGAAAGGTCATCTTACACTATTAATATATGTGTAGACATATGCATACATCGTATACCGAACATAAAAAGTTAGAGATCATGAATAATTTGGGGACATATTATTTTAGGTAATTGTGTTCTCTGCCTTACCTACAAATATATCCCCGAAATTTTCATGATCCCTAAGCAAGTTTGTTTAGTATTTACGTTGTACGTCGGATTTCAAGGAAATCAGAGTCATTGTATTTCCCGTCTGCACCCAGTTGGTTGTTTCTATGTGTTAACCCCCCTTTGTTCACATTACCTTCCTTTCTTTCATTCTTATTCATCATGATAACCTCCATGTCACAGATGATGGCGGAATCAGTCAATGGACACAGTGGTCACTGACACCTTGCGGCGTCACATGTGGAATCAACGTGCAGAGAACAGCCTCAAGACAAAGATTCTGTAACAACCCATTCCCTTCGTTTGGTGGTCGAAATTGTTCTGAGAGTCGTTTTCAGAGTGAAACCCGCAACTGTGGCTTGAACCCATGTCCTAGTATGTACCCCTTGTTTCTCCTAAAAGATCATATTTTCATCGTTATCATGTTGCAAAAGGTGTTCATTTTAAAGTGTAAACATTATCCTATAAATACAGTTTATCTAAATCGTGTTTAGGATCTGATCTTTTAAGGATTGATAGTGAATGTGTTTGTGTTTATTGGGGTATGAATCCAGAAACTGATGTGCAAACTGTAGGAATCAGCGTAGCGAATGCTTACGAAAGTTGGAATATGCGGGTTAATCAGAAATGAAACCCGACGGCATGAAATTTGTTTAATCAAGGCCTGCGGACAAAAAATAGGCGAGCGAGCCTTCCGTCTCAGAGGGTAGTTTGGACAATGAATATGCACGAATTTCGCTAAAGGTGCATGACGATACACGTAAGCCGAAAAAGGAATTTCCTCGACTGTAATATTGGGTAATATAAGTAGTCCGTCCGCTTCGGTGAGAGTGGCTTAATATTTTACGTTCATTGGAAAATGAATGCAATAACACGTCACCAATTCAGCTAATCAGGATGCAGGAATTACAATGAACACAACGAAAATTTAATTATTTAAGACATAAACATTGCCAGTGTTTGTTTGTAAAGGATAAAAGTAATCATTTGTTGATTCTTTGCAGTCGATGGTGGCGTTAGTCAATGGACGAGCTGGACTGTCCCGCCCTGTGGCGTGACGTGTGGCTCCGCTGCCACGACGACCATCACAAGAGTGCGATTCTGTAACAACCCATTCCCCCAAAACGGCGGCAGAAATTGTACCCAGTCTCGTACAGAATCTTTAGTCAGAAACTGCGGTCTTCCAACTTGTGCAGGTACTATTATACACACTTTTGTTTAAGGATACATTATTCCTTTATTGTTTGGGTATGAAAGGTCAGGTCCATTTGTATACCTAATGTATGTGTGTTGCCGTTAATCAGAGTATCAGCATTATGTCTGAGAGATAAGTTGAAAACACATTTGAGGTTCGATGTTTACGAAATCACTTACACATTCTACTCTGTTGTTTAAAGTCTCTCATTCTTGTTTCTATTATGTATGGTTATCAGTATTGTATATATTTTAAAAATATTCCGTATCTAGTTGATGGTGGTTTCAACCAATGGAGCCAGTGGAGCCTTGGAGTGTGTCCTGCTACTTGTGGAGCCGGTTTCACGCGAAGCGCCACACGAGTCAGATTCTGCAACAGCCCGACACCTAGCGACGGAGGACGAAACTGCACTGGAGCCTTTACAGAAACGACAACTCGCAGCTGTTTTCTCACGCCCTGTCCAAGTATGTTCTTGATTATCTCCCTTTCTTGATTCACGGAAGTATGAATACGTCATCCCCTTTGGAACCAAATTTTACTTAATTCTGTTTCAGAACCATCTTCTGTCAAACGCAAACTGGTTTTATTATCCTGATATTAAATTTGATATTTATTAAACGTGAGACCACAGTGATCACAGATAGATTCAATGTAGACATCTGTTGACACTATTTTTACATTTTAGTTGATGGAGGTCTCACCCAATGGAGTCAGTGGTCAGTTCCCACTTGCCCTTTTACATGCGGTGCAAGTATCACTCGCACAGCATCAAGAACAAGGAGCTGCACGAACCCTATACCACAGAATGGCGGTCGAAATTGCACCGGCAATCGATTTGAGACTGAAACCAGATCATGCAATCTCCCCTCCTGTCCAGGTGAGTGTGCATCACATGGCCTTGTGAATTATCGAAAGTTTTAACTTTAAAACGTCAACGCAATGGATTATCCACCGAAACAGATTCCACTGGTTAAAAGTCAAGATTCTATCAATGGAATCAAATCAGTGATAACACCCGGCATCCGTGACATGACGTCCTAAGGACTTGAAGACATTGTTTTTAGACCAGTAAAATGTTAAGACAAATGAGAGGTTCGTGGATATTATGTGGAACAAAACAATATCATTTGGTACATTTAAAGACAATTTATCTTTGGCAATGTATATCTCATATTACAATCAAGCAAAATGAATCGTGTTTTGTGCAGTTGATGGTGACGTGACGGAATGGATTCAATGGACGGGAGCAGCCTGTGTATTAACTTGTGGAACCTCGGCCACGCGTCAGGTTACCAGAACAAGGACATGCACGAACCCACGTCCAACTAATGGAGGTCAAGGATGTTCAGAGATTCTGTTCCAGAGCACAACTCGCAGTTGCGGTCATCCTGAGTGTCCAGGTAATGATTGGATGTTTGTTTTGTTTTTTTGTTTGTTAACGCCGCACTCAGCAATATTCCAGCTATATGACGGCGGGCTGTAAACAATCGAGTCTGGACCAGACAATCCAGTGATTGACATCATGAGCATCGATCCACGCAATTGGGATACGATGACATGCACGTTTTTACACCGCAATTTCAAAGAACTTTGACTTCTTGAACGAGTCTAGCGGTAATATCTGCAGCAGAAAACTTAACATTATATGACATGGAAAAGTGCCCCATCTCTATAAATGCAATATACTTTTTCATTTGTTTGTACGTTTTATAAATTTAATCTTACGTTCTTATCATATTACCTTTTCAGTTGACGGTGGCTTGTCCCAATGGACTCAGTGGAACGATCCTCCATGTGCCGTTACCTGTGGACCCTCTGCCTCCAAAGTCGTCAGTCGTACCCGTCTCTGCAATAGCCCAGTCCCTTCTAACGGAGGTCGCCCTTGTACAGGACTCCTAGTCGAGACCGAATCTAGAACATGTGGTCTTGGAAATTGCCCTGGTGCGTAGAAGAGAGATGCAAATACTTATATACTATCAAAGGGTCAAATGGTCTCGATGTGTCTGACATGCCACAAACAAAACACTCATTACATTGCTTTTCAACGACAGTGATAAAATAATGCCACTGATCCCCATGCAGCCATCACTTGTGGCCAGAGTTTCATTACAAACTGTATATTGAATATATCCGTGATGTGGTCTCCATGTCATCCCTTTTAACATAATTGTAACTCATGCATTGTGTTTGAGTGAGTGAGCTGAAACCTAGAAACATAATCGGAGCGAACCGGGATTCGAACCCACAATCATAGGTTTCTGGCGCCTTAGACGACTGGGCCACCCTTGCCCCCCATTGTGTTTGAGTCATGTGAACACACATAGTAAGAACAAGCGTGTGTAAAGACACATACCGATTTCAATTAATCAATATTTTTCTTTGATCGCAGTCAATGGTGGATTATCGTTGTGGACACAGTGGTCAGACCCTCCATGCCCTACCACGTGCGGTGCCAGTGCAAGGAAGACCGTCTCTAGAAGCAGAACCTGCACCAACCCTCGGCCTCAGTTCGGTGGCCAAGATTGTCCGGAACCGATCACGGAGACAACGACTCGACTCTGTGGGAACAGTGCTTGTCCAGGTGAGTTTGTTGATATTCCTGTGAAGACAGAAGCGACGACCATTTTCATAATAATCGTAAGAAATTAATTAATAAAACATATCCACTTGAAACGGAGTCCATTCTACGATTGTAACCTTGTCGTTAGCATGCGTTTGTGAATCACAATTAAATAGTGATAATACTGGGTGTTCACAAAAAGGTGAGCGTATTCTACCCTACGGTCGTAAACACATGCATGGGCACATCAATCAGTGCAAATCAAAATAGGAAATTGCATCAGACTAATGATCAAAACCTACATGCACGAAAAGAACAATTGGATTTATGATTTGTATGAACATAATTGATTACACTGGGCACATATTCGCTATCAAACAGACGTCTCTTATCATCACATTAATTCCCCAAAAGAAAATCGCGCTACATCTGTTTACAAATATACAGACACACCAATGAAACTGTAAACCACTTCCGTCTAAATCTCCAAACATGACAACAGTTTCTACTGCCCGTAAAAACACTTACACATACCAATGTGCATAGTTAGAAGAAAGTGTTACTTTGTGAGGTTTGTATGAACTAACGTGACTTCTTTTATGTAGTTGATGGTGGCCTTACTGCATGGACTGAATGGAGCAACCCGCCATGTTCCGTCACCTGTGGCACCGCCGCCACCAAACGGGTACAGAGAACCAGATCCTGTTCCAATCCAGCTCCCCGAAACAACGGAACGCAATGCGTTGGTGACCTCACTGAACAAGCCATCCGACCATGCAACTTGGGACAGTGCCCCGTTGTTATTTTAGGTGATTTTTTTATTACTTTTAAATTAATGCGGTAAACTATGGTTAAAACGAACTCAATTGGACCTCTTACTTTAGTTTGTTATAACCGTAGTTCGTTATAAGCATATATACAGCATAACTATAGCAAATAGTCGGGACAAAAAAATCAGTTCGTTATATCCATCAGTTCGTTATATGCGTGTTCGTTTTAAACGTACTTTACCGTACATTCAAACTGCATCTACTATTCGTATGACTCTTGTGTAGCCTAATACGGGTTGTCACAAACTGTGTCCAACTAGCTGAGAGAAAATGGTATGACTATAGACCCGTATTGTCAAATCAACATTGTCTTTGTTTCAGGGTTATGTCGCACTGCGCAGCAGATCAACGGCGTTGGCTACCGTTACCACCCCACAGACTGTGACAAGTACCTCCAATGCTACTACAACCCCAATGGCTACGTCGTCGGTGTATATCGGTCATGTCCTTTTGGATACTACTGGGACCAGAGGACTCTCAGATGTGACTTCCCCTGGAGAGTGAACTGCCCACTCGGTTAGTAGAATAGGATCATCCCTTTACTGTCCTTGAACTAATGGTATTATTATTATTATTATTATTATTATGATTATGATGATGATGATGATGATAGTGATTAATGATACAGCTTGTTTACGCTACATGAAATGAATGAATCACAAAAATATACAACTCATAGATCCGAAACAAGATATGTTTGTGTAACGCCACCCTTGGCCACATTCAGCGGCCTGCAATAATCGAATCTGAACCGGAAAGTCCAGTGACTGACATCATGGGATACGATGAACATGCTTCAATAAGGTCAGCGAACCTGACCGCCCGATCCCGTTAGTCGCTTCTTAACACCATCATGGGTTGCTGAAGACCAATTCTAACCCGGATCTTCACGGGGTTCCAAAGACAAGAAGAATTGTCACAAGTCAAGATTCAAACACTTTAGCTTGCATCTAAACCTGTCCACTAAATAAACTCCACTGTGTTCCAGAGAAGTGCAACGGGTCCTGCGTCGCCAACTACAACATGGAAGGAAGCTGTCGCGCCCACTGGGTTTGTGAGAAGGGTCTGTCAAGAGGAGATTGTTGTCCTATGGGATTCAGATACGTCGTCGGACAAGGATGCAGACCAGACTTCTATTGTAGGGATCTCTGCCCAACACCCTGTGCAAGCAGAGGTAAGAACAATGCGATCTTAAACGGGATACTTTTCAATGTAAGGTTGGTTCTTGTAATGTAAATACCGGTTAAGTATCATCATGTTGGTTGTAGTAATGTAAATATCGGTTATGTATCATAATGTTGGTTGTAGTAATGTAAATATCGGTTATGTATCATAATGTTGGTTGTAGTAATGTAAATATCGGTTAAGTATCATAATGTTGGTTGTAGTAATGTAAATATCGGTTAAGTATTATAATGTTGGTTGTAGTGATGTAAATATCGGTTATGTATCATAATGTTGGTTGTAGTGATGTTAATATCGGTTAAGTATCATAATGTTGGTTATATTAATGTTAGTATCGGTTTTTATAGTATTATAATGTTAGTGCGAGTTATGTAAGTATCGTTTATGGTATCTTAATGTTTGCGATAGTGATTATATGTCGGTTATAGTATTATACGGTTGTATTAATGTAGTAAAAATTGCCTGTATACTTATATCTGTTCATATGCGCCCAGCTTAGCAATTAACGTTTTAAATGTTGTGTTTAGATGTATGCGACAAGAGACCAGACTGGGGGAACAATCCCATGTCCTACAACATCTCCGTCGGTCTCCTTGGATGGATGCGAGCATCGTGCGTACAGGGAACATACTTCGATCTCATGGACTGTGGATGTGGTATCCCAATGAATGCTTGTAAGTAACTTTCTATAAACCTACCGGGTTAATCACACGAATATATCGCCTATCCTGTACATGTTTATCATACCGCATTTAAGTGTATATGGTTGATAAAGTTTGTATAAAATCAAATGAAGATATGCAATGCAAATGGATATCCATTATCGAAATATAGGAAAGAAACTTTTATCACGACCATGCAACGAAAGTAAAGTGTAATATTCGACTTCGCTTTCAGCTTGCACACCTGACTACAGTCTGGACTTCAACAACGATAATGCCTTGACCACTGCCCGGCAGTCATGGCTGACCACACAGGGCGTCAGCATCTTGAACGGTTATGGTCTGTTCGATGGTACCGGTCACATGTTCTTCAACATCTCCCAGAAGGCTCCTGCCGTGGATTGTCCATTGATTGTCCGCTTCCGGTTCAGTGAAAGTCAGACCGTTACCGGACGTCGCATTCTCGTGTCCACTAGTGATTGTTACAAGAGCAACACCCTGGTTATTGCTATTGACCAAAACTCTGTCATCTTTGAGATGACATCTGTCTATGGTCAACTTATCAACATGCCTGTGTCTCTCGCCGTAAGTAGTTGTTTGATTATGCTGAGAAGGCAGAAACCTGATCGATGTAAAGTTGATGACTTAAAAAAACGTCCCAACAAAACATTCCTCACGAATGCCATTAAATTTGAAATTGCAAAGTGTGGGATTTCAAAGGCTTGCCACTAAACTCCTAAACTAAAATGCGATTGTGTTGTCACCATATTTCTTATTTGTTAAAGTAGACATAATTTATGGATTTGTTCTAATTTGTTGCTTTTTAAAGAGGTCTGAATCCCAATTCACTCTCTGGTGGATCCATATGTTACACGTGTTGCCATTGGTTACAGGGTTTCAGCAACTTTGAGTGGAAGACTGTCACGATGGTGTATGATGGCAAGATGATTACTGGAGTTGTGGAGTCAGCAAACCTGAAATACATGCAGCAACAGTTTGGTAAGCAGGATAAGCAATCTCCACGTGTCCGGCACTCTTTGCCCTTTCTGTTAATCTTGGGCCAAATGATCTTACTCCCAATTGAGTAATATACTCAAGTGTCATTATTAGGGGTCAACGGCTTGACCGCCCTCCTCATCAATAAAAGTAGTATTTTCAACTTCAAAGATTATAGTTCGGCTACATCTGGATGGAACCAGTTTATACACACATTGACTGTTACTTGTCATCTATTACACGTGCACGGGCTAAACCACTGGTTGCGTTCAGGGGTGTTTTGGGTAACTTTTCAATCACATTCAATCTTGCACTTTTCGTTTTTAAGTTCTTGTCCATTTTTCGAGTTTTGTAAAAAAGGCTTATCAGTTTGACATAGGCATGAACAGCATGTTTTTTCAACTGTTAACCACATTGTCAACATACTCAGACCTATTGACGCTTGTTGGCATATGTTCATGTTTGACAGACCACATTCCCAGTTGACCCTTTAATAAGGACGCAGTGTATATGTCAATAATCGTTTTCCATGTGCATATGATGATCACAAAAGCAACATGCAGCAGACTATCCAGTTTGAAAACTCTATGTTATAATGACTGATTCAGTAACAAAACATGTCATTTTTTTAACAGCCCCAGAGATGAGTATCATGCAGTGTGGCATGAGATTCGGTTCGGACGGCAGTATGAGTGCAGCAGAGAGATTTATTGGAAATCTAGATTCGGTACGTAGTTCAATAATACTGATAATCTACAGGGCTATAAACTTCAAGCGTACAATGAAGTGCTACGAAGTGTTAACTAAATCTTGGGAGTGATTATAGAAGCGGGATCTCACGTGACGTAGATGTTGATATTGAGTTCTGCTTCCGTTGACAGTATGATTGCTTTGATAAAACCATGAAGCTGTTATCGATGTTTTTTTTGCGATAACATTATAAACATTCAGAATAAACTTATGAAAAATATCTATTCAGATATAATAATTTGGAAAGTTTTGAGGAATATAAATATGTTCAGTTGGGCACAGTAATGCTCATAAGATCATAGAATGATGACCTTTTTCAAACGTAAAGCATCATATCCAACAAAGTTAAATACATTTTCCAGTTAGAAAACAGTTAATGCTTTTGAACATGTAACCAGGTTAAAGCAACCTTTTGATGTTCAACGAAATAAAATGAAAATTCTTATTTGTTTCAGATGTCGGTATACCGCTGTAACCCTGGCAACCTGTTTTAAGAGTTCCGTGCAAACGAGCAATCGATATTCATTTCCATCCTTGTGTCAACAAAGTCTTTGAGGAAGACAATGACTTCAAAATGTTACCATTTCATTTGCTCAAAGTGTATATTTTCCAGAAATGATTGTACATTGTAATTATACATCAGAAACATACTTTTACCATGTTTAGATGTGATCAGTGGATACCATTAATGTACATTTGTAAAGCATTCGCGTGTAAATACGCGCCATGAGTTATGTGAGATATTTCTCTCGAGAAATCTATCAATCAATCAATGATTGTGAAAACAGTAGTTGTAGATAAAATTATAGATCGCGTCTGAAATAATACTCTTTCATGTTAACGAGGTTGTATATACACAAATTAAATGCTTATAACTCTATACGAGGCTTCAAACGCTATATGTGTTTTAAAGATCTCATATTTGAAGCAACGATTAAACGGCTCACTCACGAGTTCAAGACTCGTCGACTTATTGGGGAAGTCAAAATTATTTTTACTGCTGATTTTGAACTTCCTCTCGTAGCTCTTTCGCTTTTTTCGAGATTGAAGAGAAATGACTCTTTTGCTATTTGTTACAGCAAATGTACAATTTGCTGTGCGTGTCTTGATGATTGGGCCCGTGAATTATTCGATGTAAGACAAAGTTGCATTTATTCAACATTGCAATTTAAAAGATATTTTGTATACGTTACTAATGAGATGCACATATAATCAAAATATACATTATTTACAAAATGTTATGTTATATTCATAATGTTCAATAGATTCTATTTTACACACAGGATTGATAGACGTTATATAGCATCCAAACCTCGTTGAGCAGTATCGTGGTCATTCTGCGAATGTATGAAGCTATACGCAAAGAACGAAATAAATATATTTTTTCACTGTTTTAATAATTCCTTGTTGAAGTAATTATTTCATGACATGTGATCGCAGGTGACATTGAGCAGATCGTGACCATGCTTGTTAAATTTCATGAATGAATGATGAAGTGAAGACGACGTGTGGGCACAATGTACTTTTGGGTAAAAATATAGTGTGGTATGGTGATTACAAGCCATGGAAACCAATCTCTGAAAGTGCGAGTTTTGAACTAACGGCTGTTAGGCTTAGGACACGATCCTGCAGATATCTCTGCGTTCATTTGCATCCATTTTGCAATGGCGATGCAACTAAACGGATTTTGTGGCGATAAAAATCAAATAGATAAAGAACAGCAAAATATATTAATATTTACATCGGTTAGCTTACAATGTGGGAGTTGTAATTAAGCACTACCCAAATACATGGACTTTCACACATGTATTAGAAACGGAATTGAATCACTCAATTATTGTACTGCGAGCTAACTCTGAAGACAGGAATATACACATGTACACAACTCTATAGTTATATTAACATAGGTATAACAGTAGATACCCTCACAACATACATAGCTCTGTACACAAGCACACACATAACAGTAGATACACTTACACACATACATAGCTCTGTACATAAACACACACATAACAGTAGATACCCTTACACACATACATAGCTACACATGTAGCTGTACATAAGCACACACACACACACACACACACACATAACAGTAGATACCCCTACACACATACATAGCTCTGTACATAAACACACACGTAACAGTAGATACAATTACACACACACATAGCTCTGTACATAAACACACACATACCAGTAGATACCCTTACACACATACATAGCTCTGTCGATATACAGATGGAGATGTACCTAAACACACTCACATAACAGTAGATACACTTACACACATACACAGCTCTGTACATAAACACACACATAACAGTAGATACCCTTACACACATGCATAGCTCTGTAGATATACAGATGGAGATGTACATAAACACACACATAACAGTAGATACCCTTACACACATATAAAGCTCCACATATGTAGATCTACATAAGCACACACACACACATACACACACACACATACACACACACACACAAAACATTACAGTAGATAAAACTACATACACATACAGTGCTGTAGAATTGCACACACACACACATAAGCACATACACACACATAACAGCAACACACACGCACAAAACATAACAGTGGATACAACTAGACACACATACATAGCTCTAGATCTCTAGATACACATAAACACACATAAACACACACAGACACACTCATAACAGTAGATACCCTTACACACATACATAGCTCTGTAGATGTTCAGATGGAGATGTACATAAACACACACGTAACAGTAGATACCATTACACACATACATAGCTCTGTACATAAACACACACGTAACAGTAGATACCCTTACACACATACATAGCTCTGTAGATGTACAGATGGAGTTGTACCTAAACACACACACATAACTGTAGATACCCTTACACACATACGTAGCTCCACATATGTAGATCTACATAAGCACACACACACACATACACATACACACAAAACATTACAGTAGATAAAACTACATACACATACAATGCTGTAGAATTGCACACACACACATAAGCACATACACACACATAACAGCAACACACAGGCACAAAACATAACAGTAGATACAACTCGGACAGAAGGACTGTGCGCGAAAACGCAGCAGTAAAAACAGTGCGCCAAAACGCACCCAGACGATCATTCATTGGACATGAAAATGTTGTGTTTCACGTGCTAGAGGCACTTAACACGTTACGCGACACATATATCACAGTAAATGAAACTACACACACATACATAGCTCAAGACCTGTACATACACATAAACACACACACACACACACACACACACACACACACACACACACACATAACAGCAGATAAAACTGCATGCACATACAAAGCTCTTGATCTGTAGATACACATAAACACAAACACACACACACACACACACACACACACATAACAGTATATAAAACAACAAAAGCATGCAAAGCTCTAGATATACATATAACACACGTACATAACTGAATATAAACTTACATACATATGCATAGCTGTATACATGTAGACATACATAAAGACATATACATAATTGTAGATACTACTTACACATACATGTACATGTGCCCAGATCAAAAGATAGAAATAAACACACAAACATAACTGATTACACAACTACATAAACATACATAGCTTTAGACGTTTATATAGACATGCACATACATAGCTCTAAATTTCTTGATACACAAAACACACATACACAACCGTAGATAAAACTACATTCACTGTCACGTGTCGATTCCCAAATTGAAACAAGAGGTTAACCCTGAAATCTGCACGTAAAATAATTTAATGAGAAACCAACAAACAACCCACAAATGATATACTATCAACAATTATATTACGCGATTCACCAGGTTTACACATCAATGCAAATTACTGCACAACAATTACAATGGCAGTGTACAATGGAGTCTTTGTACAATACTCAACGGCAGTATCACATACAAAATAGGATGAACGTGGTGACAGCCAAAAGTTCTGTCATAATAATATTCACCCATCCGCAACAGGGGTAGAAGCTTCCGCAATAGGCCTTGACTTGGAATCAGGGGTGATAAGTGATCTTCACATAAAAGCTTTTGTTTAACAATACATTTCATGTATTATATCAATATGAACAAGTCTATCTGCATATACGGATACATATAATAACAAATGAACAAGTCTATCGACAGATACCAATACATATAACAATTGAAGCCGTCTATCGGCAAATACCAATACATATGATAACAATTGAAAAAGTCTATACCAATACAGACACCAATACATATGATAACAATTGAAGCCGTCTATCGGCAAATACCAATACATATGATAACAATTGAAAAAGTCTATACCAATACAGACACCAATACATATTATAACAAATGAACAAGTCTGTCGGCAAATACCAATACATATGATAACAATTGAAAAAGTCTATACCAATACAGACACCAATTCATATTATAACAAATGAACAAGTCTGTCGGCAGATACCAATACATATGATAACAATTGAAAAAGTCTATACCAATACAGACACCAATTCATATTATAACAAATGAACAAGTCTGTCGGCAGATACCAATACATATTATGACAATATGAACATGTCTATCGGCAGATACCAATACATATTTTAACAATATGAACATGTCTATCGGCAGATATCAATACATATTATGACAATATGAACATGTCTATCGGCAGATATCAATACATATAATAACAATATGAACATGTCTATCGGCAGATACCAATACATAGTATAACAATATGAACATGTCTATCGGCAGATACTATTTATAACAATATGAACAAGTCTATCGGCAGATACCAATACATATTATAACAATATGAACATGTCTTTCGGCAGATACCAATACATATTATAACAATTGAACACCAACAATTGACCGAGGTAGCCAGCACACAAACGGCAGTTGTGACACAGTAGAGGTAGCAAGCAGACCTACGGCAGATGTGACACAGTGGAGGTAGCAAGCAGACCTACGACAGGTGTAAGACAGTGGAGGTAGCAAGCAGACCGACGGCAGATGTGACACAGTAGGGGTAGCCAGCAGACCGACGCCAGTTGTAGGACAGTGGAGGTAGCCAGCACACAAACGGCAGTTGTGACACAGTAGAGGTAGCCAGCACACAAACGGCAGATGTGACACAGTAGAGGTAGCCAGCACACAAACGGCAGATGTGACACAGTAGGGGTAGCCAGCAGACCGACGCCAGTTGTAAGACAGTGGAGCTAGCCAGCACACAAACGGCAGTTGTGACACAGTAGAGGTAGCCAGCAGACCGACGCCAGTTGTAAGACAGTGGAGCTAGCCAGCACACAAACGGCAGTTATGACAGAGTGGAGCTAGCCAGCACACAAACGGTACTTGTGACACAGTAGAGGTAGCCAGCACACAAACGGCAGTTGTGACAAAGTAGGGGTAGCCAGCAGACCGACGGCAGATGTGACACAGAAGAGGTAGAAAGCAGACCGACGACAGTTGTCACACAGTAGAGGTAGCCAGCAGACCGACGCCAGTTGTAAGACAGTGGAGCTAGCCAGCACACAAACGGCAGTTATGACAGAGTGGAGCTAGCCAGCACACAAACGGTACTTGTGACACAGTAGAGGTAGCCAGCAGACCGACGGCAGATGTGACACAGAAGAGGTAGAAAGCAGATCGACGACAGTTGTCACACAGTAGAGGTAGCCAGCACACAAACGGTACTTGTGACACAGTAGAGGTAGCCAGCACACAAACGGCAGTTGTGACAAAGTAGGGGTAGCCAGCAGACCGACGGCAGATGTGACACAGTAGAGGTAGCCAGCACACAAACGGCAGTTGTCACACAGTAGAGGTAGCCAGCAGACCGACGCCAGTTGTAAGACAGTGGAGCTAGCCAGCACACAAACGGCAGTTATGACAGAGTAGAGGTAGCCAGCAGACCAACAACTGTTGTAAGACAGTGGAGGTAGCCAGCAGACCGACGGTAGTTGTGACACAGTAGAGGTAGCCAGCAGACCGACGCCAGTTATGACAGAGTAGAGGTAGCAAGCAGACCGACGGCAGTTTGGACACAGTAGAGGTAGCCAGCAGACCGACGCCAGTTATGACAGAGTAGAGGTAGCAAGCAGACCGACGACAGTTCTGACACATTAGAGGTAGCCAGCAGACCGACGGCAGTTTTGACACAGTAGAGGTAGCCAGCAGACCGACGGCAGTTCTGACACATTAGAGGTAGCCAGCAGACCGACGGCAGTTTTGACACAGTAGAGGTAGCCAACAGATCTACGACAATTGTGACCAATGGAGGTAGCCAGCAGACTGATTGTGACACGGTCGAAGGTGATTGTCACACAGAAGATTCATACAATACGAATAACAAATGTGACCAAATTAGAAACTGGCTCGACATGTCATTAATAAAACTCTGAGCAGGGGACCATGCAAGGACATCGACGAGTCAGCAGATAGTTTGATGATGCTACATTTGTTGTAGCTACTATTAAACAACAATAATCTGAGAGCAGCAAACGTACTGCGCAGGATGTCATCGGTCGACACGATGGGGACATGTCTAAAAACAGTCGTTAGTCAAAATGAGGATACTTTTATTTGCAAGTCCACGAATGCTACTGTTGTAAGTCAAAATGTTTCATTTGGCATGTATGCTCTGAATATTAACAAGGCCAGGGTGATTGCATTGCTTCCATACAAGGTTGAGAGGTTGTATTCACTCTCGATTTCAAATATATGTTCACTAAATCAAAGGCTACTGAAAAATCTCATGGGCTTCACAACTTCAAATAAAACAAGTATAGTTCTGAGATACGTGCCTATTGCATCGTTGGCTTTTAATGAAACTGAGAAGGGCCTAAATAATAAAGGGAGTAGACAATCCGAGTCAAATTGAGTTGTACACTGGCACAGCCAGATGGTCAGCTAATGTCCCAAATAGCCCCGTCCTGTCATGAAGGGAGTATTACAGCTGTATGCCTATCAAACAGCTGGGGACACTCATAGGGACGGTACTAAATATGTACAGTCTTCACTCTTTTCACACTTGTTAAACATTCTACCATGACATTGATGAATGCTTGATTCTGATTGGTTAAAAAGAGGTTTCCCTTTTGCTACGGAAACCCCTTTCAAATATATAAAGCCTTTCCACAAAAAACGTGCGTATGAATACATCGATAGCCTACATATCGATTCATAGAAAATGGCTGCCGATCGATCACCTCATATAAACTGTAAAACTAATCTATATTTCCTCCATACACGCTGGGTCTCTAATACCAGGCAGGGGCGAAATTAACAGACGGCATCTCATCAAATAGAGGAAAAACGGTAGTTTGATATCGGATGTGTTGGGCGTTGGCTAGGCCGCAACCCTGACTGCTTCGGTGATGATATTAAAAGATTTAACGAAGGCATATATTTTGCATACAAATGAAATGTTTATGACACTATTACAGAAATGTTCTATGTTGACCAGAATCGGAACAATTTAAGCTATTTCCACATTGAAACAACCGACAATGAAAGTAATATATAACATTATAAAAAGTGTTTGAAAAAAACTTTAGTCATCACAACCTGTTGTTTACAAACCTTTTTGTGATCGATATTGGTCGCTGTCTCCGTCAACCACCATCGTAAGGGTTTGGCATAAGAGGATTTGAAATTCCATCACTCAGAAAACACTTGTCCATTCGAAAATCCACGTAAACAATGTCCCTACATCATTGAAGTCAAACTTGATGAAATTCATTTCAGAACACGCACAATTGGGGAAAATCATACACGAACCACTATGTCTTGGCCACGAATGTCTCATTCCATTCACACGCTGGCTTTGGAATCCATGAAATCTTGAAACTGACAGGTCACACCATGCAGATTCTGAGATAGGCCCTACCTCGTGTAAAAAATGTCTGGCTCGTCTGCAGGCTAAAAAGCGGCTGTTCAGTCATACTCACTTCCATTGGTAATCATATTGTACCAGCAGGCTTGATTATTCCCAGTAAATCTACAAGTTAATGTTGAACCACACCTACATCAGGGTTGTCATCTTGCTAAAGGAGCAACGGAGAATGTAAACACAAGATTGTCAGCCATTGAACTACTCACGACTATGGTGTTTTTAATCTTGAAGTTAAGTAATAATTGTTACATATATAACTACCTGTGACTACTTTTAGGAATGTTCTAAGATTGCGGACCTGTGTGCCTGTGTTGTTACGCGTTGCAAGAGAGCGCCGTTTGCAAAGCGTTGTTGCCGTCTTGTAGCTTCAGCGCGAGGTTCCAAATTATATTAAAGAGGTATCTATTCTACAGTGGGACCACATCAAATTTCAAAACACAGTAGGTTTATCTCCTAAATGTCATCGAGGAAAACAGTAAAGCAAAGTGCACGTGCATGTTATGGCATTCGTAACTCGTGGTAGTGACTATAAAAAGGCAAGCATACGTCAATAATTTGTCATTCAGTTGTCAACATTTTTTCAAAATCGAATATGCCGAGACTCAGCGCTGCCGATCGGAATATCGCCCTTGGACGTGAATCGCAGTCTTCTGTTGCACGCCACATCAACGTCCACAAAAGCACCATTTGCCGCCTTTGTGACCGATAAACACTGTTCAATTCCACTGCAGACCGTCCGAGAACCGGCCGACAAAGAGTTGCCACCCATGCACAGGGTCGCTACATTCGACTGATTTGAGGAAGATATCGGACCAGACTGTCAGGAACCATCTTCCCGAGGCTGGAATCCGACCTAGAGGACCAGTTGTTCCCTGTTTTGCAACAGATCAATCGACAGCGACGCCATACCTTACAGCCTTGGAAACTGGAGACGAGTGTGGTTTAGCGATGAATTTCGTCGTGGAAATGAGCGTTTTGCCCCGCATTGTGAAGTCGACAATTTCGGTTGCAGTAGTGTCATGGTGTGGGGGGCATATCCTACACCACGAGATCTGACTTGGTTGTGGTTCCGGGAAATTTGACAGCGAATCGCTCAAGAATCAAATTCTTCAACATCACCTTCTTCCAATCATTGACCGCCAGAGGGAGCTGTTTCAACAGGACAACGCTCCACCGCACACAACTCGTGTCACGATAGACTACCTTCATAATGCCAACATCAACGCCTTGCCCTGGTCGTCGAGATCTCCAGATCTCAACCCAATCGAACACCTCTGGGATGAACTCGATCGACGTGTACATCAACGTCAGAACAAGCCGCAGACACTCCCACAACTGGCCAAAGCGTTACAAGCAGAATGGCGCAGAATTCCGCAGGACAGAATTCGTGCACTTATCCAGTAAGTTCCGAGGAGATGCATAACCGTGATTGCTGCCCGGGTCGGTCAGACGAGATACTGAGTTCGGCGCAACCTTGTGTCCTTATGTGACATGAAAATGAACAGTTTTCAATGCCTTTGTACAACGACAACATGTGACTATCGAGCTCAAAAATTTCATATTTGTATCTATGATATTAAATTATACATATCGACTTTATCAGGAACAATAAATTTACTAAAATTCTACCTGTGCGTTTCCTTTTTTGAAGAGTGTATTATTACCTTGGCAAACAGGTTGACGCCGAATACATTCACAATACCTAGATTTATCATTTAACTACAGCATTTATCCATGACATAAGCTTATGAAATAAAAACATGTATGTCATTCCCCAATGACATAAGTATGCAAATTAGATATGCAAGTTAGATAACCGGAAGTGGGACTTTTTTCGCCGGTGCACGTGAGTAGGTGTTTACAAACAACATGGATACCTTTGATGTTAGAGACAATGTTTTAATAGATCAAAGGGGAAGTGCTACAGTGATATCCGTGTCGACAAATGGATATTACAGGTTACAGGTTGATGGTACTTTTTTTTCTCAGCGAAGGAATATGCCATAAAGGAGTTAAGTGGTTGTTTATTTTGGTTTACACGGCTATGGAAAACATGTATCACAACGCACGATCTATACGTACGATTTCGACGAAGTTGCTGATGTTATTGTTAATGCAATTATTCCTTAATAGGGAAGCAAAAATGATAAAGAGAATTCATCACTCGTGTTTTTTAATATGGGAAATATCAACCTCGTCCCGTTAATCGGTATTTGCCTCGCCAAAGGCTCGGCAAATACCGATTAACGGGACGAGGTTGATATATCATGTTAAAAAACACGAGTGATGAATTCTCTTTATACACATCAAACGATTCCTTTTCGATGCTACAAGGTCAACATTCATATCCTCCCGGGTACCCACTCAATACTTGGTCCGACATATATCGAGTGAAACAAACGTATTTTACGGCCAGTGTTCCAGTGTGCGGCTGCTGTCGCTCCATGATCAAGTGGCAATTTTTATCCACCCCAGCGTTGTTAAGTTATATCTTGAATGCCCTGCGCTTGACCACATGCAACCAATTAGAGGATCGTATGCAGTGTACAAACGAATTCATATCACCAGTCACGCCCAGAGCACTGATTCACATCTGAGCTAGCTTGGGATCTCAGTACTACTTTTACTCATGTGCTGTCTACTGTGTCATCTATCGACGTATGTAATTAGCTCAGAGAAACATAAAATTGCTTCAGTTCAGTCAGCGAATTACTGTTGGTGACGATCCCGGTGACTGCGGACGTTCTCCAGCCAAACTTTCATCTTTTCCTTGTATTAAGGTAAGAGTAATTGAGACCTGCATCACTTCGGCTTTCCTCCCACATTAAGCTAACACGCCGTGATATAACTGGAATACTGTTACAAGCGGCGTTAAACCCAACTCACTCACTGTATATCGATGGCTCTAGTACATTTAATTGCTTCCAGTCCAGTTCAACTTAGTTCGTACAATCAGCATAAAATGACATTATTTTCTTATCCGGAAACCTACTTTTTTTTATATTGGATTGATTAAAACAATGAAATCGTCATCTTTATAATACAAGACTTTTTACCTCCATATGTGTTTACCTTTGATTTGCGGAAGACGATTCACCGTTCGGTCGTTTGTCCTTAAAATCGTTCATAGATTTCTTCGGTCGACTAAACTATTTTTCATCCAACATGGTTGTCCACAGAGTAAGTATATTATTTGAACAAGTATATAAAACTTACCAGTGATACAAAGTGAGGATATACTACTGTAATTATAAGAAAGTCAACCATTTTCAGCGCAGCTAATACAAAAAATGCCTATACAGTTAAAACCTTTGAACTATAGAACCACTAATTTATTATATCGCTGAAGACGACGCGACTTTATGGTCTTTGTAGGCCATAGTCGTATTTCGTAAGGGACTCCTCTCGATCCATTATTAATATAATAGTATTTAATCGCCCCAACTGAATGAACTCCAATTCAGACAGCACAGTCTTTGCTCGGGCCAAGTGTACCTTTTTTGCTGAGAATGTTTTTGACAGCATTGACTGGTCCTTGGACAAGAGAAATTATTTAGCTTCTATAGAATGACGTCGATGCATATCATACTTGTTGCAAACCGATAGAACGCGCACAAAACCTCTGTGTTGGAAAATAGTGAAAAACGTCAAACAGTGTTTACAGCATTTAGTAATTATGTCAATATCTGAGCAAAAACAAAAACTATTTTTGTGAAACAGATTTCACTACAAGATTTGTACAATTAGGAAACAAACCGAGGATAGAATTATGGATTTCATAGTCTTCTTGACTCTCTCAGTGACATATTTAGTGCAGGTGACAGCTTATCAAGTATTCAACCAGTTGCCATCCATTTGGCATCCATTTGGCATCAGGTGGCATCCAGTTGCCGTCCAGTTGTTCAAGTAGTTCATCCAGTTGTTGACCCACTTGCTCATCCAGTTGATGATCCAATAGTTCGCCGTCAAATACCATTATCACTTCGAGCTCTCACCCCAACACAAGCTGAAATACTGTTAAAAGCGATATTCGACCAATGTACTCACTTTATGTGTTGCTCTAGTTCTCTCCAAGTGCATACGATTTGCCCTCGGTTGGTAGCTCAGGGTGATAAAAAGACAAAAACACATGGTTGAAGACATAAAGACAGGAGTGTGCTGTACACAAATGGGACAAACGTGTTTTTTGTAAACATGTTGAAAGAATAAGGTATTTTGCATAAATGACGTTTGAAATAAAGGCATTGGAATGGTTTGTACTATAACAGTACCTCGGATTCCACCCCTTTATTCAAATGGCACAAGAACTATTTGATTTACATATCTTATATTAATAACATCACATTACCATATATAAAGGTCTTCAGATGTGTTTGTTGATTGTTGACTGATCAACTCGTACTTTCCGCCATGTAAATAATGACAATCCCATTACGTCACAATAGTACCAAGTCAGGTAATGTAGATAGTGATGCCTTACACTCAACATTTAAATTACCTTCCTTGATTTTATTGTAAAGTCATGGCGTCACAAAGGGCCTGAAGAGCCTCTGAAAGAGCAGAAGTAACAGATGATCAGTAAATGAATCTGCAACACTTCTGAAGAATTGTCTTCATTGTCTTATATTCAACCATGCCAGGTGGACATTTGTTTCAGGTCGATCAGGGTGCCGTTGTACAAAGCGATCTTAGCACTACGGTGATCCTTACTCCCATACCTTAACATCGGCTAAGACGGTCGTGAAGCTAAGGCTGTTTTGTATAACGGCACCCAGTACGGTTTGATTCCGTAATCCTGACCATCATATAAGTATTATTCAATATCAAAATGTTACAACATTTGTCATCCTAATTAATGTCTACAAAAAAATACCTGTCTGTAAACTGTTTAGAATGATCCATAATCCTTATTCCATTAAAGCCGGAGATTTAATCTAGGTGACAAAAAAACCGTTGTCAGACACTAGGCCACAATTAATGTTCATTGTTTATTGTCCACGGATAAAACATTCCAAAACGTTGTGATCTTGTGTTTTGAAAAGAAGCGGATTCATAATGGTCTGATATTCGGTCAATAAACGGAAAGTATATCATGATGATCTAGGTCAATATGTTATTATAACATTATCCATCTGTCATTTTTCCAAAATTATATCGACATTAGTACATGAATATATATCTGTGTGTTTGCAAGCAAAATATAATATTCCTTTCATGCGTTCGTCATTTTGTTATTTCATTGACCTGATTGACATCCCATTACTGATGAAGTGGCATTAAACACCACATCATGCACTGACTGACACAGACTGATGAGTTATAATTATTCTGGTATTTTCGCTGACTCATACACATCTTGCATCGTTTGATAGGCATTTCTAAGAAACTGTCGGATGACAAGATAGACTAAAAGTTTATCGATAACGACTTCGTTATTATATAGTAATAGCGACGTTTCGGAACAGATCAAGACCGTCCAACGGGACAAAGGCATAAGGATCTACACCGATCCCTCGCTATAACAGCATAATGATGACGTTTGTATCCATAAACCTTTCGTCTGTATTGTGATCTTGCATCATTTGTGTATGACTCTAAAGGTATTAGGGCGGTCGGGTAGCCTAGTGGTTAAAGCGTTCGCTCGTCACACCGAAGACCCGGGTTCGAATCCCGACATGGGTACAATGTGTGAAGCCCATTTCTGGTGTCCCCCGCCGTGATATTGCTGGAATATTGCTAAAAGCGGCGTAAAACCAAACTCACTCACTCACTCACTCACTAAAGGTATTAACCTTGAACACGTTATTGTTAGATGAACGCAGAAAAGAAGTCTTTATATAGAAACATTTAAGTCAATCGCATCCAAATATTTTATTTGCTGTCCCATGGTCTTTCAGTGCTTTACATATTTGAGTACTTTATACTAATGGCACGAAATGACAGGCTCTTTGAGACTAGCGTACCAGATAGCCTGAAGCTATATATTGTTCCCTTACAAAAGTAGTAGGGGGGTCACTGGCTACAGATCAGACGTTTACCACTTCGGTGAAACCCACGAGCACGGGTATGGTGCTGACACACCTAGAAACATGATGGGGGCGAACCGGGATTCGAACCCACAATCATAGTTACAACTTTTATTTGCCGCATTATACCCAAACCGGCACGTCATCCTACTCCAGAAAGAACACAATTTAATTTAGAATATGTTTTATCCATTATATGAAGTTTGTGAACAAATGTCGGTACATTCTCCATGTAAAAAGTCCGAATACACAGCCCGATATATATACATGTAGTTGAACATTAGGCCATATACTGCCTACATTTTATTTGTGTGTTTGTTGTTTAACGCCGCACTCAACAAAATGTAATCTATATGACGAATATAACAACAAACATTGAAAACATGGGCTTCCATCTACGCAGCTGGGATACGATGACATGCTTCAACCAAGTCAGCAAGCCTGATCACCCGGTCCCGTTTGTCACCTATTAGGACAAGCGTTTGTAGCTGAAGGCCAACGTTAACCTGGGTCCTTGCTGTTTCAGGTCTCAGGTTCCCTCGACAATGGTACTACGGGGGATATTGCCCTTGCTGTGTGTGCTGATACTTCATACAGATTTGTCACTGCAACAGCAAGGTAGGTAGCACGTAAAACGGTGGTCACGCATGTCACCTCGCCACCAAGACCTGGGGTGCTGTTAATTATTTAAATTAACCATTTTTATATCGTTTTTGGTATAGCACGGAGTGGCAGATTAATACTGCAGGACGTCGCTGTTTGACATGTTGTTACTGGGAGGTCTAGTGCGATGATCATCAGGATAAATAGGATCTTGGAACTCACGATCCGCAGATCTTGTCACGATTATACGATCGCGACTATTTGTTCATCCTTGTCGCCACTATTTTTAAACCCCTGTCGTCACAATCTGTTCACAACTGTGTCGACTAGTTGTTGTCCCCTGTCGCCACTATTTGTAAACCCCTGTCGCCACTACTTGTAAACCCCTGTCGCCACTATTTGTAAACCCCTGTCGCCACTATTTGTAAGCCCCTGTCGCCACTATGTGTAAACCCCTGTCGCCACTATTTGTAAACCCCTGTCGCCACTACTTGTAAACCTCTTTCGCCACTATTTGTAAGCCCCTGTCGCCACTATGTGTAAACCCCTGTCGCCACTATTTGTAAACCCCTGTCGCCACTATGTGTAAACCCCTGTCGCCACTATTTGTTGTCCCCTGTCGCCACTATTTGTAAACCTCTGTCGCCACTATTTGTAAGCCCCTGTCGCCACTATTTGTAAACCTCTGTCGCCACTATTTGTAAACCCCTGTCGCCACTATTTGTAAACCCCTGTCGCCACTATTTGTAAACCTTTGTCGCCACTATTTGTAAACCCCTGTCGCAACTATTTGTTGACCCTGTCGCAACGCCTTGTCCACCCCTCGCCACGCCTTGTCCACCACTGTCGCAACGATTTCTCCATCTCTTGACGCCATGACTTGTCCACCCCTGTCGCCTTAATCTTTCCACTGCTGACCTCACGTTTCGAGGAATGCCGAAATCCTACACACTATTTTCTGTTTTGGCTTCACCAATGTGGTAAATGTCTACGACCAATGCAGAGTGACCTTGGGTTTTTCTCCTTGCTGACATGCCGTGATTTACCAGGCAGATCCTTAAATATTCGGGGAGATTCCCGTTATACTTAATCTTAACACTGAAAAATAACTTGAAACTCTGGTTTCCAAATGAATAATATTAATAATACACCAGACAGATTGACTCATCAATTTACACAACAAATGTGTGCTTTTTATTATAGTTAAAGGGTGAAAGATTATATTACGAGACGAGACAATACCCACCACCCACCACCACTCTGCCATTATGGTACGTGGCCGGTGCCTAGCCGTATAACATTGCACATGGGATTTAAAGGCTGACTGTTGTCCAGTGTTTCAGACGGAGATTCAGAGCACGGTCGTGACCGGGGGTGCAACTGCATACTTCCAGGCTGTTGTGCTCCCCTCCGTTAGCGGGGTCGGCACATGGAATAAAGATGGCGTCCAGTTGACCAGTGTGGCCGGTAAAATTAACATCATTGTCTCTGGCGATTTCCGACAACTTTTCATCACCAACAGCCAAGCTTCTGACGCCGGCACCTACAGCTACACACTGGGCGGCAGAACGACGACAGCGCAGCTAAGCATCGCAGGTATTCAAAAGAATGTAGACTATATGTATGTATGTATATGCGTGTGTATGTTGGCATGTGCGTGCGTGCGTGAGTGCATGCATGCGTGCGTGCGTGCGTGTGTGTGTGTTCAAACCAATAGTCATTACTTCACACGTATGATTCGTTAATTTTTTGTCTGGCTACTTTTACTCGGATTAAAGGAGTTTTGCTCTATCTATGGTTCATTTATTTGGAATACGGTTTGCACAGTAAAAAAAAGGGGTGGGGCCGCCTCTGTGATCTGGTGGTAGAGCCTCCACCCTGAGAGCGAAAGGTCCGGGGTTCGATCCCCGGCCGCGTCTTACTAAGAGACGTTAAAAGAGCTACTTGTTGTTACCCTGTCTGGTGCTCCAGCGTAATATCTCACTGGGCAAACACTATAAATCGGAATCAGTCCGGAGTAGTACAAGTCAGCCACAAACACACACACATGTGCATGCATGTCGCTCTATAAGTGAAATGGGGCAGTCGGGTAGCCTAGTGGTTAAAGCGTTCGCTCATCACGCCGAAGACCCTGGTTCGATTCCCGACATGGGTACAATGTGTGAAGCCCATTTCTGGTGTCCCCCGCCGTGATATTGCTGGAATATTGCTAATAGCGGCGTAAAACCAAACTCACTCACTATAAGTGCAATAATCTTGGACGACACGTTAAACACAATTTCACCTCACCTCACCTCACCTGAAATGGGGTAACTACTAAATGGCACTGTGCCCGTACAGTTGGTTGGTGGCAACCAGTGTAGGGATATCTGCAAGTGACGTTCACGTAACTCATTACAGTGGGACATGGACCGTGAACATTAGAAAATACTATAATGTGTCGTGTTGTATTACTACTTGTTAGAACTAACCAAGGCAGTTGGGTCGTTCATTACAGAAAACCTGGCTATCCAAAGCGGGCTATCTGACAGCACCGTGAATGTCGGCGCTACGGTTACCCTACAGACCAACCTGTCTCACAGCGGTGTCAGCCTCGGAGCGTGGTATAAGAATGGTGCATTGATAGTGTTGAATTCCCGAATACAGGCGTCAGCGAGTGGTCAGTCGCACTCCCTGTCCATCTCCGACGTCCAGACAACGGACGCTGGTACATATGAATACAGAGTTCATGGACTGTCCACAAGTGCTACACTCGTCATTCGAGGTGTGTTTGCTGGTTTTATGTGGGGTGAGGTGTGGGGATGGGGTGTGTGTGTGGTGTGTGGGAAGGGGGGCGGGGGGGGGGGGGGGGGGGGGGGGTACACACGTTTTGCTGGTCAGGTAAATATAAGAGACGCTAAGGCCGATTGGCAGCCACGCAAGTTTGGTTCAATTCAGTAACAATTTACAAGTGTAGTAGTGGCAACATACATCATTTTATAGATTGTTTGACAAATACTTTCTTCTTTCATACGCATGGTAAATAAACAGACAGAGTGATTTTATTTACAAGATTCAATCAAGGTGCACACATTAAAATCAGGTGCACAACCACAATCAGTGCCAAGTGGAACAGAAGTCTATTTCATTAAATAGTTGCGGGGTGAGAGCGGTCGTGATCTCAATTCATTCAATCAGTTGAGTTACACATAGTGAAACGCCAGAAATATAACACATGGCTCGCTCGCTCGCACGCACGCACCCCAACCCACCCGCATCCACACACACACGTACGCAGGCACGTCCCCACCTCACCCCACCTCACCCCACATCTCATCAACACACAATACCACGCACGCACGCACGCACATACACGCACACGCACGCACGCACACACCCCTCCCCCTCACCCCACACCATACCACAACAACACGCACGCACACACGCACTCACGCACGTACACACACACACCTAGCCCCACACCACGTCACATCAACACACACGCACGCAGACGCACGCACGCACACACACATACAGAGAGTGCATGTTTCATCGTAGTTTTGTGTTTTGCAGATATATCTATAGTTGAGGGTCTTCCGAACTTGACGGCCCCGATGTCCCAGTCCGTAGTGTTCCAGGTGAGACTGAACGCGGCTGGCGTCACCAACGGTGTGTGGAGAAAAGGTCAGACCCAACTAGCAACATCCGGGCGGTACAGCACTGCTGTGGTCGGAGCCCTCCAGCAACTCCTTATATCCAACATCCAGTCCATAGACGCGGGGACATATACGTTTACAGTGAGCGGAAAGTCGACATCGGGAGACCTCGTTGTCACGCAAGGTATGAATGTACGATGCCATATTGTGAAGAGGATGATATTGCTTAGAGTGAGTGAGTGAGTGAGTGCGTGCGTGCGTGCGTGCGTGCGTGCGTGCGTGCGTGCGTGAGTGAGTGAGTGAGTGAGTGAGTGAGTGGTGAGTGAGTGCGTGAGTGCGTGAGTGAGTGAGTCACTTTAGTGTTGTGTAATTTCACCAATCTTTTGTACCACATGCAACATTAATTAAATGCTCTAATCCTCTGAATAGAGTTGTCGAAGTTTGAACAGTATCTCACTAATTATGTCACTGTGGTTGCGCCCGTGTGACAAATCAACGCGTTAGTATTTTCACTACTATACAGCCGAAAAACACATGCACAGGCAAGTCAATTGTTCACAGAAACATATCAGGGTCGCTGCTAGTGGAGTCGTTTTGAAATTTGCAAAACTCTGAAAAAATTTTGGAATATGTTTATATGTCAAATATGAAATTGTAGTCTTCACTACAAAAAATTCTCCCAAAATATTCATGATTTCTGAATTTTTTAACGTATTTACAGCGGTGTTTAGGACTAGCAAGGCTTCATGGTACGCCTTTCTACAGTTAAGAAAATTCCACATATAACGAACTTCACTACCAGCGACGGGATATGTTTCGGTGAACAATTGACTTCCCTTTGCATGTGTTTGTGACAGGTGCCATCGTTTGGGCAGGATCGCTCACTTTTCGCGTACACCTGCTATTATCACTATTTCATAGTGATTAATCAACACATGTTCATGATACAGTCGGAATCGACTGTCGAGAATATAGAGACTTTTAGAATATGGAAAGGGTTTTGACGCTTTTATTTGAGTGTAACTGGTTTGTTTATTTTCAGCACTAAACATCCAACTTACACTCCAAAATACGTCAGTATCGGTCGGGGCCACAATCCAACTCCAGGCGTACTTGTCGCAGAATAACATCAGTACCGGCACATGGTCCAAGAATGGTGTTGCACTCACCAGCGCTGGACGTACGCAGATAACCGTTGATGGTCATTTTCAGCGTCTGACCATTAGCAATGCCGAGTTGTCCGACGCGGCCCGGTATTCATACTCCGTCAGCGGACAGGAAACGTCGGCCTTTGTCAATATCATCAGCGGTGAGTTAAAAGATTCATCTTCATTGGAGCGCTTCGGCGATGAGAACAAATATAAGATGAAATGCTTAGGCAAATTTATGCTAATTTCGTTGCACTGATTCCAAACAATGTATGCTCAGAGCGCGTACACCAATTGTTTGATTCTGTGCTGTTTAACATCGCACTCAGCAATATTCCTTATATATGACGTCGGTCTGTAAATACTCGTGTCTGGAACAGACAATCCAGTGATTGCCATCATGCGTATCCATCTGCACATTTGGGATACGATGACATGCATCAAACCAAGTCAGCGACCTGTCCACCTTATTCCGTTAGTCGCCCTTTCGACCAGAATGGTTTGCTGGAGATTATTTTCTAACCGGATCTTCACAGACCGTGAACAAGAACTACTAGGCAATGAAACAGTGTGCATTCACTTAGAATTTGAATTTTCAACTTCCTGAGAAGTATACAATCTAGTCCTTTCGGCGCCAGACCGTTTCGAATTCACGTGTCAATAAAAGAAGATATAAAAAAAATCAAGAAATATGGTCACAACCAGTCTCAGTCTCATGCTACAAGTTTCGTTCTAGTCCTACCTGGTACCCATTCGCTGCTTGGCAAAAAGAGGAAAACTCTCGAACAACGTTATTTGCCGAATGAGACATGGCATATTGTATAATCTGTGTTTGTGCCGCAAATAGCGTATGATATATTATTCAAAAGAAATTATTCAAAAGTCCTTAACTTCTTTCGAGTAGTATATGTACCTTGTTACTGCAAGGACTGGTCGGTTCGGAGTCAGCATATTGTATCTGAATGTGGTGCTCATGTTATCTTATGGTATCTAAGTGGGCTAGCACTATAAAACAGACATTAGTCCGGGCCAGTACCATTCGTCACCACTCGCCCCTTTCCGTAACCTGGAAGAAGACTCGTCCCCGAATCGATGAATGTTATGTGCGAAAATACGACAAACCAATCAGAATGGGCATATGATTTTAAGTTCTTCGTCAAAGAATCCCTCAGAAATATTTTTTGATTTTACATATGCCTTGCATCTAAAATATACCCAAGACACAGTTAAATGTGTTCGATCATACTGTATTATTCCGCACGTCCCAATGTGCTTTAAATTGCATCTGATATCTATATTACACATGGGGAAATAATATGTGAACCATTTCGCAACGAGTTGACAATTGTTTTGGGTATGCCCGTTTGCGCTAAGACGGAACCCGGTCGCAAAAATGGCCACGAATGGGGCCAAAAATGGGGCACGAGTCGCTTTTCGGCTTGTCCCGGAATAACACGAGTTGGTCACGAATGGGACAGTACAAGCAGCCACACACACACATGCGCACGACTCTCTGCAGCGACACCATTTCATCTCATCCCTGCGTGTCTCGTCTTCATCTCGTCACATTCATTATATCATACATCTATACCTGGCATAATGTCAATCCTCAACACTGCCGTGCTCTACCGTGGTCTCGTGGTCAAGCGTCCGCTAGGGAGCGAAAGGTTCGGGGTTCGATCCCTGGCCGCGTCAAATCAAAACACGGTACTTGTTGTTACCCTGTCTGGTGCTCGGCATTCTATGCCTAAAACAAGTACTGGGTCGGAGTCAGAATACTGTGTCTGAGTGGGGTATTCATGTTAAGTTAAACCGCGGCATAGTCCGTACTAGTACAAACAGCCCCCAGGACGTCTGTATTTATTGGTAAAATTACAGGGCATTGATCTGAGGCGTGGACACGCAACTGAACGTAAACATGAAAGGTACGTTCCATCCAGTGATGCTCGAAAGAAGCACCTGCCCGTAGGCCTGTAGCAGCTGGATCTGGTGTCGGCCTGTAGATTTCAAGTTGTATGGGTCTGTTTTGCCTGTAGTAAATATACGTGTCAATCTATTTGTCATAATAAGTTGCAGTTTTGTAAACGAGGGCATGAAGAATTTAGACAGGGCCTGTATGTTCTAAATTGTTCGGGTCCTGATGACTGCCTGGCATTTATTTTAATTCAACCACCAGTCACCCAACTTCATCAGGTTTCGTTTTTACTTGACATGCGATTCGTGTTTTCGATGCAGGTTGAAACATTTAAATTTCATCCTCATGTCTCTCTGCTGTGATTCACTATATGTAGTTGTCTTAACATTTAAATCTAACCCTCGTATCTTCTATAGTTTTCTGTGTGTCGTTGCCTTAATATTTGTTATACAAAGGGAGCAAACCTTGACGGGTGTTGTAATATTCCAGTTCCGATAAATGGAGGATTTACCCAGTGGAGTCAGTGGACGAATCCGTCCTGTGGCATCACGTGTGGCACCGCCGGCAGTCTTAACCGGACACGTGCTAGAACCTGCACCAACCCAGCTCCCAGTAATGGCGGACAGGATTGCTCAGGAGACACAATCGAATTGCTCCTGAAGACGTGCGTCTTTGGCGCGTGTCCAGGTGAGGGTATGGTCCTCCATGCAAGTACAATATAGGTATAGATACTCATACATGTAGCTGACCTTGTATTTCGTGAAAATAGAAATGGATCGGTCATGCACTCGCAGTCTTTAACTAAAAGAAACAGTGGATGTAATAAGGTGCAATACACGTTTACTGAACATGTAGGACTTCTGTATTTATTGGTAAAATAACAGGACATTTTACTGACCCTTGGAAACGCAACTGAACGTAAGCATGAAAGGTACGTTGCATCCAGTGGTGCTCGAAAAAGCATCTGCCCGTAGGCCTGTAGCAGCTGGATCTGGTGTCGGCCTGTAGATTTCAAGTTGTATGGGTCTGTGTGGCCTGTAGTAAATTTAAGTGTCAATTTATTTGTCATAATAAGCTGCAGTTTTGTAAACGAGGGCATGAAGAATTTAGACAGGGCCTGTATGTCCTAAATTGTGTGGGTTCTGATGGCAGCCTGGCATTTATTTTAATTTCAACCGCCAGTCACTCAACTTCATCAGGTTTCGTTTTTACTTGAGATACGATTCGTGTTTTCAATTCAGTCCCAGTACCTCTTTTTTAATAATGTTTGTTTCCTAGTAAACGGTGGCTTCTCATTGTGGACTGAGTGGACGGATCCATCTTGCAACATCACTTGTGGAACAAGAACCGATGTAGAACGGAGACGAACCAGGAGCTGCAACAATCCTGCTCCAAGCAATGGCGGGCTGAACTGCACTGGACCTTTTCTTGGTGTTGTGCCGAAAACCTGTGCTTTCCCTGCTTGTGTTGGTAAGTGTTCAGCAGTAAGTGCACGTATCATTTAAAGAGTCTACTTCTCACGATTTGTTTGTTTGTTTGTTTGTTTGTTTGTTTGTTTTTTAACGCCCCACTCAGCAATATTTCAGCTGTATGACGGTGGTCTGTAAATAATCGAGTCTGTACCAGACAATCCAGAGATTGACACGATGAGCATCAATCCACACAATTGGGATGCGATGACATGCATCAACCAAGTCAGCGAGCCTGACCACCCGTTTCCGATGGTCGCCTCTTACGACAAGCATCGTCGCCTTTTAAGGCAAGACTGGGTTGCTGAAGACCTATTTCACCCGGCATCTTCACAGGCCACTGTTTCTGAGTATGGAAAACTGTCAGGAAATTCGATGTAAATAGAGATGACACAGAATCTGTGAAATGTTGTATCATGTGACATAGTTGTGGATGAAGTCTTTGATAAACATTTAGAAGGTGGGAGAACATGAATACATGACTCTTTAACTGCTTGTTTATTCTTTCTTTACAAAGAATAAAAAAGACGCTGTTATCCATAAAAAAAAGTGTACAACGGGTGCGACTTTCATACCTTATGTCACATTTGTTTTAGTTCCGATAAATGGAGGATTTACCCAGTGGAGCGAGTGGACGGATCCGTCCTGTGGCATCACGTGTGGCTCCACAGGCAGTCTTAACAGGACACGTACGAGAACCTGCACTAACCCAGTTCCCAGCAATGGCGGACAGGATTGTTCTGGAGATACAATTCAGTCGTTGCTGAAGACGTGCGTCTTTAGTGCATGTCCAGGTGCGATCATAATCATAACTGTTGTAAAACTACTTTTATAACGAACACGCTTATAACGAACGGACGGATATAACGTATTATATTTTGGTCCCGGGCATTTGCTGCATATATCCCGTATAAATGCTTATAATGAACTACGGTTATTACGAACTAAAATAAGTGGTCCCTTTGAGTTCGTTATAACCGTAGTTTACTGTACATAGAAAGTCAGGATCAAACTTTGTGTGAATGTGTATCTTCCGACATTCCCACACTAGCATATTTGTAAACTGACTACATCATGTATAAAATATGATATAATTGTGCAGCGGATTGGTATGTTTAAACCTCAGCAATTCAACTCATTGAATGTGACAGTTTAAGACCAATCATCATATTTTTACAAACTATGACAAAGTATGGACTCAATGAAACGTCAGGACAACAAACAAAGCAACGTAATTGAAGTGTCATGCTAAATGTCAAAAGAATACGGGGCCGGAGTCGGATGTTTTGACTTCACCATACAACCAGCCATGCATATCGTTAACTGATTATACGTGCAGTCGTGTTAAATGTATAGAACAACTATGTGTGGATTGTAATCATTATTGACACATCCATTCAACATCATATTGGTGCATTATATAATTGGACGCAATTGTGCACCAATCGTGCATGCCTTTTATAAAAAAGAATCGTCTCATCGGTGAGTTGGTTCATATTGTTGTCATACACTTTTAAGTGAGTACATATGTTCTTTACGGTGACCATGATATGAGTTGTAAAGAATTATATTCGGCCTTCACAATGTCAATAATCAGTTTTCGTATACAGTTTCGCTGTCGTGTATGCATATTGTTTAATGCCTTACGTAGCAGTATTGCAACTAGACTGTTCCATGTTGTGTTTGTTGTTTGTTTGTTGTTAAACACATCACTCAGCAATATTCCGGGTACATAACGACGGTCTGTAAATAATCGAGTCTGGACCAGACAATCCAGTGATTGATATCATGAGCATCGATCCACGTAACTGGGATACGATGACATGTATCGACCACGTCAGTGTGACTGACCACCCGATCCCGTTAGTTGCCTCTTACGAATAGCATAGTCGCCTGTTACGGCAAGCATTGGTTGCTGAAGACCTATTCCACCCCGGCGACTAACGGGATCGGGTGGTCAAGCTCGCTGACTTGGTTGATGCATGTCATCGATCCCCATTGGGTGGATCGATGTTCATGATGTCAATCACTGGATTGTCTGGTACAGGCTCGATTATTTACAGACCGCCGCCATATAGCTGGAATATTACGTGCGGCGTCAAACAAACAAACGTCAAGGTGATACAATCCCAGCCGTCTAAGGCGCACAACCGTCACTGAACGAGTCCTTCAAGCGTCCGGAGATCTTGGTCCGAATGCTAGATTCATTCTGAGTCTTGGTTTATTAGCACCATGCTCGTGGGTTTCAAGAAATTGTAAAAGACATGCATCATTCTGGCCCTTCCTTCCGCATCAAGCAGGCACCCTGTGATATAGCTGAAATACTGCAGAGGCGTTGAACCCAACTCACTCACTCACTCACATTATTGTTGTCTTTCCATTAGATCTCTGCACACCAGCCATCTACCGTTACGGCATTGGCTACAGGTACCATCCTACTGACTGCGACAAGTATGTACAGTGTTACAGGAATCCAAATGGCAAAGTTGTTGCCATCTACAGGAGGTGTCCTTTTGGGTTTTTCTGGAACCAGGTGACATTTCAATGTGACGACGCCTGGAAGGTTACATGCCCGGTTGGTAAGCGACTTAAAGCATGGCATATTTAAATGACGCCAGTCTGGGGTTTGTTTCACGTTTTCAAAAATACTACAAAATTCAGAAAATAAGAATTCTGGAAATAATTTTGAAATTGAATATTCAATGACGTTGCCCTTTATTTAGCTGCGCCATAAATATTCACTTTAACATCCAAAGAAAGCTACCAACACGTAGTGGTTTGAAAAGAGCATCAGTATTTTGTCTCTTTGTACCTTTGGCACATTTAAAAAAAGGATGGTCCAAAAAAAGACAAGCAGTTCAATGGCCTACATTGAAAATCCTTGTATGTGGAATATGTTACCTCATACAAGCAAGTACTGTACAATTGGATGCTTCCCCGCACGACGGTCGTTATATTCTCAAACAGAAACACCATCTTTCCACGTTTTGACAAAACAGAGTCTGTGATACTTTCCCAGACAATCATTACCGGTCCATTTTTTGAATAATTCTAAGAATGTCCATTAGACCCTTAGAAACATGTTGTTATACGTCCTCACTCAAATGCTGAATGTTGGTTAATTCCATCCCGAGTTGGGACCGCGAGCTTCTTACTGCAGCAATACGATCTGCTACTCCCCAGATAAATGCCGAGATAACTGCACGGCCAACTTCAACCTGCTGGGTAGCTGCCGAGCGTACTGGGAGTGTGACCGGAGGGGTGTGTCAGTTCCTAGGTGCTGTGCTATGGGCTTCAGCTACGTGGAACGTCAAGGCTGCAGACCAAACTTCTTCTGCCGGGATGTGTGTCCAACTGCATGTGCGGACAGAGGTTTGTGTAGTTGCTGTCTTATCAGTGAGTAATGATTTTACGTTACAATATTCCACCAACATTCCGGCTGCACATATTTTGGTCATGTGAAGACTCAAACGCGGGACTTTGGCTAGACGAGCGAATGCTGTAATCATCCAGCCATCCCATGTAGTATTCATATCAACACAAGGAGGTTATTTGAACCAACGTTAGCGTCAAAGTCGTTGCCCGTCAATTTGGTCTTGCGGAGCCCCGGGCGCGTTAAAAGTAGAGGTTAAAAGATGGTACCCTGCCTGACGCTTGGCGTAAAGGGAATAAAACAAGGTATCTTCGTCTCGAAGTCAGTACACTGTGTCTGAGCGGGGTAACCATGATAAATTGCGGGTTGGTGTCTACGTGAAAATCCCAAGAAACTCAGCATTAGTCCGGACTGGTATAGTACCAACAACCACACACGGCATGTTGAGGCTTTTAAGTGTATTTGTTAACAAGCTTTAATCCGATGTTACGGGTTTAAACTAACATGAGTAATAATACCATCATGAAAGGTGCGGTGTTTGCCAGAGCTAAATACAATAAAGGCCAAGGTGCTTATTTTCTTACCGCCTTATCAAAAGGGAAAAGGGAATTAAACATTAAACATACATTATCTATAACAATACATGCAGGCGTCCCTCAATCTTGACCTCCTTACACAGACACACACACACACACACACACACACACACACACACACACACACACACACACACACACACACACACACACACACACACACACACACACACACACACACATATATACTCACATACACGCACAAACACACACTTTAATAATAACTTGGGCGGGGTCGGGTAGCCTAGTGGTTAAAGCGTTCGCTCGTCACGCCGAAGACCCGGGTTCGATTCCCCACATGGGTACAATGTGTGAAGCCCATGTCTGGTGTCTCCCGCCGTGATATTGCTGGAATATTGCTAAAAGCGGCGTAAAACCATACTCACTCACTCATTAATAATGACTTTCAACCCCATTTCACCTCACTGCACAGAACTTGCACTCATAGGTAGAGACCATGGAAATTCTAATTCAAAAGCATCCTGGAGCAATATATACCGTCAACAGTGTTCCAGAACCGTTTTCCATACAAGTAGAGTGCCAAATCTCTAACGATCACATAATGAACGCATGTCTGACCTTCTGTCTCCTTCATCAGATGTCTGTGACAAGCGTCCTGACTGGAACACCAACACGACGACATACAACATGTTTACCGGCTCGCGGGGCTGGGCACCAACGACATGTGCTTCTGGAACCTTCTTCGACGTCACCGACTGCGGCTGCAGTGCAATGAACACGTGTACGACCATGTTTTTGTTACATATACTATCACGGTGATTGTTTTATTGTATACACATTGTGATGGTGTTGATGCTATATCGGGGATACTGGTGGCCCAGTCGTTTCAGGCGCCGCAATCCATTTTGCAGAATTGCGTCCCTTTGGACCTGCAATCATAGTTCCTATACGGTTCGCCCTGATTATGTTTCTAGGTTTGTTATAACTGGAATACTGTTCAAAGCTGCTTTAGTCCCGTGAAGATTCCGGGTTAGAACTGGTGTTCAGCAGCTAATGCGTGTCGTAAGAGGGGACAAACGGGATCGGGCGGTCAGGCTCGCTTACTTGGTTGATGTATGTCATAGATCGATGCGCATGATGTCAATCACTGGTTTGCTTGGTCCAGGTTCGATTATGTACAGAACGCCGTCATATATTGCTTTAATATTGCTGAGTGCGGCGTTAAACAACGAACAAACTAAAATCAAACGGCAACCCAACTCACTCTATACGCTATACTCTCTGCTAACTATAGGGAACTACTATTCCAAGTGACGGGGGCGGTCGGGTAGCCTAGTGGTTAAAGCGTTCGCTCGTCACGCCGAAGACCCGGGTTCGATTCCCGACATGGGTACAATGTGTGAAGCCCCTTTCTGGTGTCCCCCGCCGTGATATTGCTGGAATATTGCTAAAAGCGGCGTAAAACCATACTCACTCACTCACTCAGGATCAGCAGCTCTCAGAGTCAAATTGCTTTTTCGCCCTGTTTGTTATGTGTGTCTGCCCAATACGCCTGCTCGTCGGTTGGCTTTCCTGTGTTGTTTTGGCTTTCCAATCCATATTAATGCTGGCACGCCGTGATACATAAGTGAAATGCATTAAGATAAGCGTTAAAACAACCCTCAACCACCCTTAACTTAAAATAAGGGGAGTAAGTGTGTATGGTTTTATCATTATTCCAGCAATATCACGGCCGGGAACACCGGAAGTGGGCTTCACATATTGTACCCATATGGGGAATCGAACCCGGGCCTTCGGAGTGACGCTCGAACACTTTAACCACTTGGCTACACCACCGCCCCTAACACATGGTGGATGGGACATCCCATCGTTTCGTCCAATAATTGTTCACTTTGTTTACGATATTAATTAACATGTTTCATCTCAACAGCGTGTGCACCGTCATATACCGTCAGCTTCACTACCGGGCCTTCATTTACCTCTGCCCTTGAATCCTGGCTGAAACTGTCAAACGTTGACGTTTCCAACGGCTTTGCAAACTTCAACGGAAGTAGTCAGCTTGTGGGTAATATCTCCATGCCAACAGCTTCTGGACGTTGTCCTCTTATTATTCGGTTCCGGTACAGGGAATCGGCGCAAGGGACTGGACGCAGAGTGCTCGTCAGTACCAGAGACTGTAGAAGGGGCAATAGTTTGGTCATCGCTGTGGACAACGATACCATGATGTTTGAGCTGACGTCGTGGTATGGCTTAACGGTTAAACTACCCGTGTCCATGGTGGTATGTAAATACAATATATAAATTCATGTACAATCATATACAATAAGGTGTATAATTCGTATCACTTGATCATCATATGTGTCCAACCACGAGATAAGGAACATTATGGCTAAAAAATCACATTTTGACTTTTCATTTTATTTTAAAACTACAGTGTCTTCGGAACACAAAAATACAATTCAAAGCTTCAATTCATATTTATTACAGCGATACATGACATCACACATCTATCTTCACTGAAGTAAGTTGACGTCAAACAGCAAAATGGTTTCCCAGCACCAATAAGAACCTTTTCTTTTGGTGGGTCACATATGTTATCCACAGGCCTCAAGAGGAACATGGGTGGATGTACTCTCTATGTTTTTTATATGTTTCCGACGGCATAGCACAAACTAACATAGAGGGTACATAAACTCCCAATGTTCCCCGACTCCCAACAGTTATGCCTTTATTCACCTCGTTCATTGAAGGATGACAGTACACAAACTTAGAGTTATTCCCCCTTGATCTATTTCATTCGGGTAATGTTGTAATTATCCTGCGAATGGCGTCTTACATATTAAATTCGATATACAAAATTGCGGATGATTTGTTGCAAATGTAATGCCAACAGTTGGACAACTCGAGCTAGAAACAAAATTAATGAACCTATTATAACATGTTAGCAGAACAGAACAGATCAGGACTTTACTGCTCTCAGGCCGAGTGCATCGGCACATGAGGTACAATTTTACATTGCGATGGACAGAGAAAACTTATTATTGCTTTAGAAATTAATACCAAGATATTTATATTCATCTACAAAATCAAAATAAAAATTTTTCAGACTAAATTTTCTTCTTTTGACAAATTTAGCACCACCGAAAATAATCCGTGTCTACAGTTAGTTTCACTAATTTACAAGTTTCAAAACACTGATTTCTGTTGGTGTTTATGGGTTAGGGCCAAAAGAGCTGTGTCGTCGGCATACAGAAGTACAAATAGAACTAAAGCAATATCTACTAAACACTCATGTTTAGTTGACTCGATCTGCAACCCTGTCCAATCATGTTGCGTAAATATGATTCTATATCATACAAATAGAAGGAAAAAAGAACTGGCGATAATTTTCTCCTTGTCTAACTCCAACATTACAATCAAATACCTTAAAACTATTCACAAACACATATGATTTGATACCATCATACATTGATCTTATAATACGCAAGCAGTTTCCATTACTCCTCTGGGCTAATAATTTACACAATAAACCAATTCTCCATTGGTGGAATATTTATGTCTAAATCATGCTTATGCTTCTTAAAGAATGTTTCAATGTATCTTGGCCCACCATCAAGAAGCGTACATCATCACGCTACTATTATATTGCACAGATTAAAATAAAAAAATGCAACAAAAAGGGTTTGGGTGATCCTGGCACAGTCAGGCTGGTTAGGCTCAGGGCGCTTGCCCTCTCTACACGCAGCCCAGACAGCGAATGAGAACTCTTCCAGAACGCGAACCAACTTAAAACTAAAAAAGGGCTGGTACTCTCCCAATATCGGACAACAGTCCGGAAGGTACCGAACCTAAGCTCAAGGCACAGAGAACAATCGGGGGTCGGACAACTTGGTACTTGGGATGCAATCGAGACACTTCGAAAGCGAGGTCTGCATATTTGCCATGTTTGTCCTTAATCATGACAATCACATTAGTGTCAAAGGTACAGACAACTAAATGATAATAATGATTTCATTGGATTTATCAAGAAGGTCAAGATCAGATTTGATGGCCTGGATTGGTCTGAGGCTGAATACAGGCCTTTCCCAACGTCCATGACGCCCTCAACGTATTCTGAGTCGTACCATGGATTGGCTTCTGTGTCAAAAATTGATTGACAGTCATAAATTGATCGAGCCAATCCATCATGTCGCTTTGTGCCAAAGCTGGATATCCACTGACAATTAATTGCATCTACATTTTATATTTACATTCTGATGCAAAATCACATATTGACCGTTTCGAGTGGGAAGTGACTGGCCCTGAGCAGCAAACAGAAAGCCTTCTGTTTCACTTTTCAGGCCAGCCGACTTCATTTTAAGCGAAGGATTCAGCAGGGTTGCTGGTCCTCTCAATACACTGCACTTACTTGCGATGCAGTGGTCGTTCAGAGTCTGGGCCGATTTGATATGGCACGTCGCTTGTTTGACACTCATTACTGTACCGCCCAGCAGTACAGAACCATCAACAAAATGAACATTGATATTGAAATTATGACCAACATCTTTGGCATGAGTCTTGACATGCCTCACATGTTTCACAAGAGGACCTAGATTATCGTTAATATTATTATTATTATTATTGATAAGATAGTTGTAATAAGTTTAACTACCTCCAATTTGTGCAGGGGTTTACTCGTATCCAGTGGAAGACTGTCACCCTGTTGTACGGAGGTTATGACATGTTAGCTGTCGTGGAGAGCGATACCCTCGAATATGCCGCCAAAGTTCACGGTAAGATCATTGGAGTATACCATCCCGAAGTAATGTATTATCTGAGTGAATGAATGGTGGAATGAATGGTCAGGCCCCAAGTTGCGACTTTCGAATAAGCAATAATAATATGCCAGCATTTATAAGGAAAATATTTTCACCAGAAAGACATCGGTAACCAGTCAGATTTGAGGATGAATAAAATGTACATGGGCATGTTCAATGTTTATATTTCATGTTTTTGGTTTGTACCTTTATGTGTATTTATTGCACTGCATTCCTGCTGTATCAATGTCCGGTCACTTGGAAACCTAATGATGCCGGTCAGCAGGGATACAGCAACACTATCCCTGTGTCAAATATAAAACAGAGCCTGCTCCGCATGTTCGTGACACCATCTTACAAAAACGCATGTTCATAGTGTCATGTTACAGTAACGCATGTTCATGGTGGGATATTACAATAACACATGTTCATCGCCTTATGTTACAGTAACGCATGTTCATCGCCTCATGTTACAGTAACGCATGTTCATCGCCTCATGTTACAGTAACGCATGTTCATTGCCTTATGTGACAGTAACGCATGTTCATAATTTCATGTTGAAGTAACGCATGTTCATGGTGTCATGCTACAGTAACAGATGTTCATGTTTTCTTGTTGCAGTGATACATGTTCATTATTTCATATTACAGTAAAGCTTGTTCATGTGTCATGTTGTAGTAACGCTTGTTCATGGTGTCTTGTTACAGTAACGCATGTTCATCGTCTATTGTTGCAGTAACGGATATTCATGTTTCTTGTTACAGTAACGCATGTTCATGATGTCATGTTACAGTAACAGGTGTTCATGTTTTCTTGTTGCAGAAACACATGTTCATTATTTCATATTACAGTAAAGCTTGTTCATGTGTTATGTTGTAGTAACGCTTGTTCATGGTGTCGTGTTACAGAAACGCATGTTCATAATTTCATGTTGAAGTAACGCATTTTCATGGTGTCGTGCTACAGTAACGGATGTTCATGTTTTCTTGTTGCAGTAACACATGTGTCATGTTGTAGTAACGCATGTTCATGGTGTCATGTTACAGTAACGGATGTTCTTGTTTTCTTGTTACAGTAACGCATGTTCATGGTGTCATGTTACAGTAACGCACGTTCATCGTCTCATGTGACAATAACGCATGCTCATGGTGTTTTGTTACAGTAACGCACGTTCATCGTCTCATGTGACAATAACGCATGCTCATGGTGTTTTGTTACAGTAACGCACGTTCATCGTCTCATGTGACAATAACGCATGCTCATGGTGTTTTGTTACAGTAACGCACGTTCATCGTCTCATGTGACAATAACGCATGCTCATGGTGTTTTGTTACAGTAACGCACGTTCATCGTCTCATGTGACAATAACGCATGCTCATGGTGTTTTGTTACAGTAACGCACGTTCATCGTCTCATGTGACAATAACGCATGCTCATGGTGTTTTGTTACAGTAACGCATGTTCATCGTCTCATGTTACAGTAACGCACGTTCATCGTCTCATGTTACAGTAACGCATGTTCATGGTGGGTATTACAGTAACGCACGTTCATCGTCTCATGTGACAATAACGCATGTTCATGGTGTTTTGTTACAGTAACGCACGTTCATCGTCTCATGTTACAGTAACGCATGTTTATGGTGTTTTGTTACAGTAACGCACGTTCATCGTCTCATGTTACAGTAACGCACGTTCATCATCTCATGTTACAGTAACGCATGTTCATGGTGGGATATTACAGTAACGCACGTTCATCGTCTCATGTGACAATAACGCATGTTCATGGTGTTTTGTTACAGTAACGCACGTTCATCGTCTCATGTGACAATAACGCATGTTCATGGTGTTTTGTTACAGTAACGCACGTTCATCGTCTCATGTGACAATAACGCATGTTCATGGTGGGATATTACAGTAACGCACGTTCATCGTCTCATGTGACAATAACGCATGTTCATGGTGTTTTGTTACAGTAACGCACGTTCATCGTCTCATGTTACAGTAACGCATGTTCATGGTGGGATATTACAGTAACGCACGTTCATCGTCTCATGTGACAATAACGCATGTTCATGGTGTTTTGTTACAGTAACGCACGTTCATCGTCTCATGTTACAGTAACGCATGTTCATGGTGGGATATTACAGTAACGCACGTTCATCGTCTCATGTTACAGTAACGCATGCTCATGGTGGGATATTACAGTAATGCATGTTCATCGTCTTATGTGACAGTAACGCATGTTTATGGTGTTTTGTTACAGTAACGCTTGTTCATGGTGTCATGGGCGGTCGGGTAGCCTAGTGGTTAAAGCGTTGGCTCGTCACGCCGAAGACCCGGGTTCGATTCCCGACATGGGTACAATGTGTGAAGCCCATTTCTGGTGTCCCCCGCCGTGATATTGCTGGAATATTGCTAAAAGCGGCGTAAAACCATACTCACTCACTCACTCACTCATGGTGTCATATTACAGTAACGCATGTTCATCGTCTCATGTTACAGTAACGCATGTACATGGTTGATTTCGACATCCCTGTAGTCCTCGATACCATCTCACGACGACGACCATGTCAATGCCCGTCTTTGTTATTTCAGCCTCGGAGTCCACTATAATGGAATGTGGCCTGACGTTCGGTTCCGACAACTTCAACACTACAACCAACTTTGTTGGTCAACTTGATCAGGTATAAATAATAATCATATTGTATACTTTGGGCGTCTAAGGGAAAACAAGCCTTTAATTATAGGAATTTAATTGGGTGCTCAAGAGAATTGTCAAATACTGAATAGTGCAATGTTAATTCAAATGATTACATTCGTAAATCTTGTTGTATTGCCATGCCTTGAAGCACATACTGCAAGACGGAGACAGTACTCTAACACCAGTGATGTGTCCATGCTCAGAGAGAAATAATGTTTAAATTGTAGGCATATTAAGAAACAGAAGCATTCATTCCCAAACATGCATACGTATATTCATTTCACTGGATATACTCACCAGAGTGTTTCTTTTGCGTCCATTTTAAATGTTTATGAGAATAGAAAACAGGATTTCGCGTCCGTAAATTATAAGAATGCATCGTATTCCGACGATATCATCAGGATGTGTTTATGAATCACTATCAAATACTGATGACACCAGGTGTTCGCGAAAAGGACAACGATACGGGTATACCCTGTTAAATATTCGCTATGATGACCAACGGTGAAATAGTCGCGTGGTTACAGCGTTAGGTTGTAAAACCAAAAACCCATTTTCCATTCATTATACATCTATAACACGTGCATTGAGACCTTTGAGAGCCTTGAAAACCCTGGGTAGAATAGATCTTCGGCAACCCATGCATGTGGTAAAAGGCTACGATGCTTGTCGTAAGAGGCCACTAACGAGGGAATCGGGTGGTCAGGGTCGCATGTCATCCTATCCCAATTGCGTAGATCGATGCTCATGATGCCAATCACTGGGTTTTCTGGTCAAGACAGGATTATTAACAGACCGCCGTCATACAGCTGGAATATTAATAAGTGCGGCATTCACAAACAAACAAGCAAACGAGGATCTTTGAATAACTGAGTATTAGTCTGACGAGAGGATGATAACATGAGCACGATACGGTATTTAACTAGACTGATGTGAATTTTTATTTTAGTTGACGCTCTACAGATGCAACCCTGGCAATCTGTATTGACCATTGGAGTCTGATGGATGATGCTCAATGTACCTGAACCCCACCCCGGTCGTCAGCCCTACAGGACAGGCCCCTTTGTGATTACAATATACCAAATAACAAATAACCGTACGATTCAAGGTTGATTAACAGGGCACGTCAGCAATGTATGTTTAATACACGATACTCTACATACAATCAAATGTATTTTAATATAATTATGAATTAGAGCTATTTATGTACTATTTAACACCGCAGTCAACAATATTCCAGTCATATGAAAGCAGTCTGGAAAGAACCGAGTCTGGACCAGAGAATCCAGTGGTTGACATCATGAGCATCGATCTACGGAACTGAGATACGATGGCAGGCATCAATCAAGTCCCGGAGCCTGACCACCCGATCCCGTTAGTTGCCTCTTACGACAAGCATGGGTTGCTGAAGACCTATTCTAACCCGGATCTTAGTTTGCTGCATTAGAACATTGTATGAATTATGTTACCCATGGTAAAAATGTCAGTATTGTTCGAATATGTATGTATGTTCTAGAAGTGCACTGAGGACGGTCGCCACATGGCAATAGAAATGTAATGTATGCTATTGCCCAACAGGTCATGTTCTTCTTCACCATTCTAATCTTAATCTGCATTGCATTATTATTGAACAGTTAATTTATTTGAATAAAATATATCTGGATACGTGTATGTTCTCATTTTAATCAAATCTAATGACGGATGGGCTCTGTGAACATGTTACTCGTACAATACCCATGTTATTCGTACGAGTTGACAGCAGTTTTGATGAGAGTTGGACTGTCTACAATACCCATGTTAGACGTACGAGTTGACAGTAATATTGATGAGAGTTGGACTGTCTACAATACCCATGTTAGACGTACGAGTTGACAGCAATTTTGATGAGAGTTGGAATGTCTACAATACCAATGTTAGACGTACGAGTTGACTGTAATACTGATGAGAAGTAGACTGTCTGCAATAACCACGGTGTGAGTGAGTGACATTATTTTAATTATCTCGATGAACGATGACGTTAACACCAAACCGCTGAGCACGGGTGCCGATAAACCAAAATTGTAGGGCTAATCAGAGACTCGAACCAACATGACACTGCTGTGTCCTAGTAAACTGTGCCACCGTGCTCCTCTTCATTGTAACAGGTGAAAAGTCATTACTGCCGTTCTTATTGACAGATTCCTTTAAATCCGCCTGTTCGACGCTTAAGAGTAAAGAAATCATTTCACCATCAACGCTTTTTAAGGACTACACTCAGATGTTAAGTGACACTTAGAGCATTAGTATGTCAAGAGTTGTCTCCCTTATAATTATTAACAGCGTTCCTCTCACTGGATGAGCTTTGTACTGTCGTCATCTCACCAATGCACTTCCAGCTGCTGTATCCAACCCTCCTCGCATCCAACTAGCTACATACGCTACCTCCACTGAGCGAATCTGGACTGTCGGGTGTGTCCATCCTACCAATTTATGGGTACCAAAGAACCATCAGTGTCCGTGAAAATGTGTGGCATGTTTATCTCCCTTTGACCATAAGAACTATTCAAGCTCACGCGTTGCATCCACAAAGCGGTCGGGGCAGCTCGGCTACCTCTCGTAACTTTCTCACTATCATTGCAAGTCAATTGCTAAGATGCAGCAACGTTACCATTGAACTACCTCCCTTATCCCTACATGTTATCTGATGTACCGCGTACCACCTATCTCGCCTGATCTGACAGTCTCCTGGTGCATCTGCCAGGAGAGCGGAAGGTCGGTGGTTCGATGGCCGCCTCGTCATACCAAAAGACGTTAAGAGATGGTGCTTGTTGTTACCCTGAATAGTGCCCGGTATTAGGGGCTAAAACAAGGACTGTTCGGCTCGGGGTCAGTATACTGTGTCTGAGTGGGGTATTCATGTTAAACTGCGGCATGGTTTCTTAGTGGGCTAATACTAATAAACCAACAGGACAAGAACAGACAGGTACGAACCAATATAAACACGCGCGCGTGCATGCATGACACTATATAAGTGCAATAATTTTGAAAACGACTTTACACCCCATTTCCTCTCACTTACACCTCGCCTCGCCTCGCCTCGCCTCGCCTCGCCTCGCCACACCTCTCGACAGATCTCAACTCAGCATATTGTTCATTGACACGTCTCGGAAACGTCCACAGAAGTTAGGGACGTGCCCTCACGCCCTGTAGGTTGCAATAATAAAACCAGCACGCAGGTAACGCGGAGCAAACTGCGTTCTGAAAGGCTGCACAAACACTAAGAACACCTACATGGCCTCCTTGCACACCTCGCCTTGCTGCACACATACAGCTTTACAATGAAATGCGTGAAAAACGAGTCACTGAACGCCATGTCTTTCAAACATCATCCTATGTCGGTGTGTCAGTCTGAGTACGATATGAAGCGTGTGTGTAACCAGGGTAACTGACAGCATTATTTCCCAGCATTTCAACATGATAGCCTCGTTTTGACATCACCGCACAGACCTCCCCAGACAATGACGCTACCGCCTCCAAATGGTTGAACGCCCTGATACAACTGGAATAATGTTAAAAGCGGCGTTAAACCCAACTCACTCACTCCAAATGGTTGAACTAGTTCAACACAATTTGTCGCTGAACGTTCATCCGATCGTCTGTACACTCCCTGCCGACCTTTATTTGTGAACAAGAAATATCTACTCTCATATCGGAGAACATGACGCGTCACTTGCCAACGTCGAAATCACCTGGTCCACGTCAACGTTATCTTAATCACCCATACAGTGCCTGTCGACTGACCCTGTGTCCCAGTACCGTCCCTGCCGTTGATGAAAACATTTTATATTAGTTTCTATGTTTTCTTTTGGACATTAATATATAAAAAAATATTTCATTATAATAATTATCTAGCATTGGGTTACCCATCGCTAACCCAAACTTGTCTCCATTGCAGTTGTGGCCATACTCTGTGACCTTGACACCATTGACGTCGCAGCCGACGATGCAGGTCCGCCAAAATGACACCTCCAACTGGTCATCTAGCGTAAATACCTTCAGCACGTAAACGGTTCCTCACTGTCTGAGCTTCTACCCTTCACATCCTCGGTACTGCTGTAGTTGTAGAGGTCTTTTTACACTAGTTGACGTATACGTAGCCGTATGCTTCCGTCGTCTGTTCTATTATGATACGTGAACGACCGGATCTGGGAAGGTCACGTGTTGTCCCTCGATCAGATAGTGGTTTCCACAGTCGTGTAATGGTGCTTGGTGCTACGTGGAAAAATCTGGCTGCAACTGGAGATGATTCCGCAGTTTCCAGTCGGCCGATGGCGTTGTTGCGTTGGGCTTCTGTCAATCGTGTCATGTTTTCGCTGTTCACTTGTTGTGAGGTTGTGATGGCATGCAAATGGAAACCCAACGTGATATAGCCGAACAAGTGATGCTGCATGTGCATGTAATGTTGGTGTGTTTCGGGGCCAGGTTCTCGCGTGGTTGTGTTTGTGCGATTTTTCCATCTTTTCACCAAATTTCTGCAATACCTCAATCTTTCCACAAAAAAAAATTCAAATCCATGCAGAAATGACCAATTCATTTTTTGTATTAATTTTGCATGGATGTTGACAACACTCTGTCAAGTATTTACGATTTTACTACTTTTGCGTTTATTTATTTGGCAGAGTATATTTTTCCCTAATGATCATCTGCGGGCATCTGATCCACTGGACCACTGACGGTGTTACTACGGACTATTGTTGTTGTTATTTTGTTGTTTAACGCTGCACTCAGCATTATTACAGTTATAATGACGGCGGTCTGTGAATAGTCGAGTCTGGACCAGGCAATCCAGTGATTGACATCATCAGCATCTATCCACGCAAAAGGGATATGATGACATGCATCAACCAGGTAAGCGATTCCGTAAGTTGTCTCCAACGACAAGCATGGCTTGTTGAAAACCAATTCTAATCCGGATTTTCACGGGGGTAGACTAAAGCATGTAACAGCAGTGCGTGACACTATAACAGCAGTGCATGACATTATAACAGCAGTGCATGACATTATAACAGCAGTGCATGACATTATAACAGCAGTGCATGACATTATAACAGCAGTGCTTGACATTATAACAGCAGTGCATGACATTATAACAGCAGTGCATGACATTATAACAGCAGTGCATGACATTATAACAGCAGTGCATGACATTATAACAGCAGTGCATGAAATTATAACAGCAGTGCGTGACATTATAACAGCAGTGCATGACATTATAACAGCAGTGCTTGACATTATAACAGCAGTGCATGACATTATAACAGCAGTGCATGACATTATAACAGCATTGCATGACATTATAACAGCATTGCATGACATTATAACAGCAGTGCATGACATTATAACAGCAGTGCGTGAAATTATAACAGCAGTGCGTGACATTATAACAGCAGTGCATGACATTATAACAGCAGTGCATGACATTATAACAGCAGTGCATGACATTATAACAGCAGTGCATGACATTATAACAGCAGTGCATGACATTATAACAGCAGTGCATGACATTATAACAGCAGTGCATGACATTATAACAGCAGTGCATGACATTATAACAGCAGTGCATGACATTATAACAGCAGTGCATGACATTATAACAGCATTGCATGACATTATAACAGCAGTGCATGACATTATAACAGCAGTGCATGACATTATAACAGCAGTGCATGACATTATAACAGCAGTGCATGACATTATAACAGCAGTGCATGACATTATAACAGCATTGCATGACATTATAACAGCAGTGCATGACATTATAACAGCAGTGCATGAAATTATAACAGCAGTGCATGACATTATAACAGCAGTGCATGACATTATAACAGCAGTGCTTGACATTATAACAGCAGTGCATGACATTATAACAGCAGTGCATGACATTATAACAGCATTGCATGACATTATAACAGCATTGCATGACATTATAACAGCAGTGCATGACATTATAACAGCAGTGCATGAAATTATAACAGCAGTGCATGACATTATAACAGCAGTGCATGACATTATAACAGCAGTGCATGACATTATAACAGCAGTGCATGACATTATAACAGCAGTGCATGACATTATAACAGCAGTGCATGACATTATAACAGCATTGCATGACATTATAACAGCAGTGCATGACATTATAACAGCAGTGCATGACATTATAACAGCAGTGCATGACATTATAACAGCAGTGCATGACATTATAACAGCATTGCATGACATTATAACAGCAGTGCATGACATTATAACAGCAGTGCATGACATTATAACAGCAGTGCATGACATTATAACAGCAGTGCATGACATTATAACAGCAGTGCTTGACATGATAACAGCAGTGCATGACATTATAACAGCAGTGCTTGACATTATAACAGCAGTGCATGACATTATAACAGCAGTGCATGACATTATAACAGCAGTGCATGACATTATAACAGCAGTGCATGACATTATAACAGCAGTGCATGACATTATAACAGCAGTGCTTGACATGATAACAGCAGTGCATGACATTATAACAGCAGTGCTTGACATTATAACAGCAGTGCATGACATTATAACAGCAGTGCATGACATTATAACAGCAGTGCATGACATTATAACAGCAGTGCATGACATTATAACAG